GTTTCAAAATTTACGATTCACAGACCAGGTTGAGCTCATCAGAAGAGGAATAACACTAGACATTCTCTATAATCTCTGAACTCCCTCCAAATGGAGTGTCCTGGTTTGTTTCTCCATTGCTATGACAAAATACTGTGACCAATACCAACTTGGGGAGGAAAGGGTTTATTCTGTCTTACATCTCCCAGGTCACAGTTCATCAGGGAGCCCAAGGAACCTGGGGCAGGAATCTGGAGGCAGGAGCTAGAGCACAGGCCATGGAGGAAAGCTGCTTACTGGCTTGCTCCCCTGGCCCATGCTCAGCTTTTTTTTTTTAAATATTTTTTTATTATAATTTTTATTGGAGATCAGAAGAGAACTTTAGATTCCTCCGGAACTGGAGTTACAGATGGTTCTCAGCCTCTAGGAATCGAACCTGGGTCTTCTGCAAGAACAACCAGTGTTCTCAACTGCTGAGCCATCTCTCCAGCCCCCAGCTTGCTTTTTTATGCAACACAGGCCCACCTGTCCAGGGGTGGCACCACCCACAGTGGGCGAGGCCCTCCCACACAGATCAACAATCAAGAAGATGCCTCACAGACATAGCCACAGGCCAGTCCTATGGAGGCAATTCCCCAATTGAGGCTCCCTCAATCCAGGTGTGTCAAGTTGAGACCAAGGCTATCCAGCACAGGGAGCCACAAGCTGTTTTATTTCTATTAGAAAGGTAAAAGGGAATGGAGAAAATTACACAGTTGGGATGATATGTTGGTAGCACCTTTGCTGTATGACCTGGATGGGCTCCAGGGAAATTCATCTCAACATAGGATTTCAGAGCAACACAAAGATCGGTCTTAAGTCATAGTACTACTACTTCTATTTGTTATCCTGAGGCTGGGTGCTTCCAATTTGTCCCCTTTTCTCCCCAACATCTTTCAACTGCTCTGCTGTCTTTCCAATTCAGTGGTCTCTAAGCTTTGACCACATATCCCTACGAACAAGAGCAACTTTAAACACACTTCTGCTTTTGGAAACCCATGTTCACCAACACCCTAAAGGAGGGAGTGTGCTTCTTTTAATTCTAACCAAAAACAGAAGTGTTCTTTGTACACAATACTTTTTTCTTTTGAGGCAGGGTCTCATGTAGTCCAAGCTACCCTCAAACTTGCTGTGTAGCTAAGGATGATTTTAGATTCCTGATTCTCCTGCCTCCATCTCCCAAGTGCTGATATTACCATGTCTGACTTGTACACAGCAAATACTTGACAAAATACAACAAACAAAAAACTATTTAAATATCATCCTTGAAAAATCCCATTTCCTTATCCAGGCCTTGACACTAGATAGATGAATGGAAGAGAATGAACAGCCTGGTAAGAGTGCCCATGACCTGTTAGCAACCACAGTTGAGAGGCAGGCTCAGGCCTGCTGCCTGGGTTTGAAATCTTTCTTGATCAACTTCTTACTGTGTAGCCTCAAGGCAAGACACTTAACATCTAGGGCTACCTTAAGGGTAAGTGAGCCAACACACATCTTCAAATTTTAGATACTTATCTGGAACTTAGTGTGTCACTTAAGTGTATTATGATTACCATCATTTCTGGATTCAGTTTGTGAATTTAACTTAAAATAGCTGCTCCTGGGGCTGGGGAGATAGCTCAGTGGTTAAGAATACTGGCTATTCTTTTTGTCTTTTTGAGACAGGGTCTCTCTGTAGCCCTAGCTGGCCTGGAACTCACTATGTAGACCAGGCTGGCCTTGAACTCAGAGATCCACATGCCTCTGCCTCCTGAGTGCTGAGATTAAAGGTGTGTGCCATCACACCTGGCAAGAATACTGGCTATTCTTCCAGAAGATCCACACCCACATGGCAGCTAACAACCATCTGTAACTCCAGTTCCAGGGGATCCGACACCTTCTTCTGGCTTCCATGGGCACTGTATAGGTGCACTTACATACATGCAGGCATAACACTGATACACATAAAAAATAAATTAAAAACAAAACCCAAAAAACCTACCTGCTCCTGAATAGGTAAGCAAGTCCTTTCTGTACCAAAGTCCAACTTCTCATTTTAAATATACTGTGGACAGAAATAATATTTGCAGCCAACAGTATGATCTCTTGAAGTCTTGAAAGTAGAATGAAGACAGTAGGCAAAGAAATTAAGACTACATTGCCTGCTATGCAGTTACCATATCAGCTCAGTATGATTCAGTCAGGCATGAACTGAAAAGTCGAAGTAAAAGCACTTGACTTTAATCTATGCTTGCCCTCAGGTGTCTCTTCCTCTTCTAAACTGTGAGGTAAATAAACTACCTCTAATCATGTCAGTGACAGCTGTTCCATCAAGGTCTGTAAATAACACTTTGTAGTCCCTATCTTCCAGCATGCTTCTCCACCATGGCTAAGCTCTCACACTGTACACATTTACAGCACCCTCAGTCGTTTGAGAAGCATGCTGTCACTCCATCCAAAAAAAAGCTGAAAATCAGGGTTCAAGTCAAGGCTTCAATCTGCCTGCTTCATCTACTCTGGGTCACATGATCTAGCAGGACCAAAGGAAAGGGTAGTTCATAACAGCTCTTTTGTCCTCTCCTCACCTCCCCAAGAGGTTCCCGGACTTTGTTAGAATAAACTCCTCAGTTCTAACTGCAAACATTGTGTAACTGCTTTGCTTGGCTCCATTTCTCACTTGAGGAATGCAAAATCTTTTGATCTGGACATTGAGGTTTTTATATTGAATTTCCCAATTCTAAAGTAAATTGAAAATTTGTAATGGGAACACCTATTTTCTTTAGGAAGTGTCCCTCTGTGTTGCTATCCACTGCCCACCCCCAAGATGGCTTAGCAGGCCTTAACAAGGTTGATGACCTGAGTTTCATCCTTAGAACACACTATGAAAGAATTCCCACAAGCTGTCATCTGACCTCCACACACATGCACCCATACACACAAACACACAAAAAAATAAAATAAATACTTTAAAACATTCTTCCCATAGATAAACACTTGCTTTTTTTGTTGTTTTTGAGACAGGGTCTCCTGTAATCCAGGTTGGCCTCAAATCGGCTATATAGCTGAGGATGACCTTGAATTCCCAATCCTCCTGTCTCCACCTCCCAAGTGCTAAGATTACAGGCACCCATTGTTTTGTTTTTGTTAATTAACCAAAGTGGCTCACAAAGACCCACCAATTTTCTCCTGCTTACCAGCTATGAGATCTTAGACAAGTTACTCTGTGCTTTAGTCGCCTCTTCTGTAAAACAGATGGTGAAGATTAATAAAATCATGTCTTCATCCAAATGTTGGTCCTAAGTTTAACAAAGGAGGATGCTCAGTCCATAAAGCCCTTGCCTTGCAAGGAGGAGGACATGAGTTCCAATTCCAGAACCTATGTAAAAATGCCAGGCACAGTGGTACATGGTACACACTTGCAATCCTGGTCCTGGCCCTGATTTGAGGCAGGAGGACCATTGGGGCTTGCTGGCTAGCCTATTTAGCCTAACTGGCAAGCTGCAGGCTAATGAGAGACCCTGCCTCAAATGAAATAGACAGTGTTCCCAAGGATGACACCTGAGGGGTTTCTACTCTGGTTTATACACACACACACATTAAAACTAAAAATTTTAAAGTTTAACAGTAGTTGCTTTCAAGTGCCAGTCTCCTGGTTCAGTGGAATAGCACCTGAGAAGTATTAACAGACCAGCAGTCCTTTTTCCTTAAGCAAACCAGTTCTACAATCCCCACCTTGGCTTTTGTATCAACATGAGTTTTGCTAACATAGTAGAAACAGTATTTCCTCAGTTACTTTTTTAGCAAACATTTCTTGAGCAGTTACTATAGGATCTGTTTAGTCACTATAGTATCTGTATTTCCTTCCTGTTCACATACTTTAAAAAAATCAGTTTCACGTCTCTTTCATTGATCAATGTGCCTTTCAACCTCCACTTTCCAAAAAAAAGTTCCAGTTTTACTCCAATAATTGTATAGACTGAATGAATGAACTCAGAATTTCTACCCTGTGTATCTTCTAACAAAGATTCCAGCCACAGCACTGAGAGGGAGTGGATGTCACATTATTAGAAATAGAAATTTTAGAGGGCTAGAGAGATGGCTCAGTGGTTAAGAACACTGGTTGTTCTTGCAGAAGACCCGGCTCTTCTGTCTTCTGTGAGCACTGCATGGCATAGGTGCACTTACCTACATGCAGGCAATATACGCATACACATAAAATAAAAATAAATAAATAAAATTAAAAAAAAAGAAATAGAAATTTTAAAGGAGGAAGAACTGATCAAGAATCATGAAATTTATTAACTCAAAGGAAATCCTATTTTGCAACAGTTATGAGAAGAGGTAATGAATTTTTTGCTTTGTCAGTAGGAGGAGGGGGAAGCAAGAGGGGAATGGGCTGTGGTGGCTGGCATCTGTAATCCCAGCACTTGAGAGGCTGTGGTAGGAGCTGCTACAAGTTCAAATCTAAACTGGGCCACAGGGAGCCTCCCACGACATTCCTCACCCTCGCCAACCCGCCAAACCCCCCCCCCCCAACAACAAAAAACCTTTAAACAATACAGCTGAGGGAAGGCCAATCAATATATAAGGCACAAAAGTTCTGTGCCCATCCCCTCAAACCCTGTGTTGGATACAGACCTGCTGTTTACCCTATTCTCTTATTTTTCTTGAGTTTTTCAGACACGTCTGACTACGGAGCCCAGGATGGGCCTCGAACTCGCAATCCTCCTGCCTCGACCTCTCGAGTGTCGAGAATTTCACAACCCCTAGATGTCTGTCCTACAAACTTTAGTGAACTCTGGCAAAAGGTTTGTCTCAGCCCAGGAGTGCACAGATTTCCCTAAAACACGTGATGCTGAGACAAAGTTGTGCGGAGGTCGAGTTTCGTTAAGGCCACTACCTTCGCACCCAACCCAGCTCTCTCCACCCGGGGTCCGCGCCTAAGTCACGCCATCCGAGGGACCCACCCTACCCAGCCCAGGGGTCTCCTCCAGCGGGCTCACCGCAATCCTTGAAGAACACGGGCTCGGCCTGTGCTGCGGCGACGAACGCCAGCAGCAGGAACTTCGCGGCCAGGAAACGCATCGCGGCCAGGGAGGATTTGGGATCTAGGTAGGAAGAAGCGGCCGCGGCAGTCACAAGATAAACGTGTGTGAAGGCGGGCCGAGGGAGGAGCCGGGTCAGGCCACTGGTGACTAGTCGGCAGCGAAAGCCCGCCCGCACCCCGCCCAGGGCTCCGGAGAGCGAGGGCCGAAGCCTGCTCTCTAACTCCGCCCATCTTGTCCGCTCCGTCAAGGGCCCCGCAGAGATCCTGTTACCCGCCTCAGGGTTCCGCCCTGGCCTTAGTGGTACCGCCTAGTTTCTGAAGGCAGAAGCCATTTTAGCCAATCAAATCCCTTCTTCTTTTGTTCTACCCAATAAGCATGAGAGGAGGCGGGGGAGGTTGGGCAATCTTAAGTCCCGCCCACCCGCCTATCTACCCGCCTCCCGAGGCACAGGTAGAGGCGGGGATTGGACCAGGCAAGGGGGCGGGGCTTGAGGGGGAAAATGGCGGCAGCCAAGGGCTTGAGACTAACGCCAGCGGCGCTCAGGGCGGTCACTCTCTGGCACAGGGGCAGGTATCATGGGAGGCAAGGCACTTGGGAAGGGTTTTCGGTTCTGCGCCTTCCAGGACAGATGGGGAACTAAGGCCCACGGAGTGGGGGGGTGAGGACTTGGCAGTTCGGCTGGGAGGGGGTCTCCAGGTTTGGGCGTAAAGCGGCCCAAGACAGGCTCACAGGCGTCCCTTCTCCTGGGTTCATACACCGCCCCCCCCCCCCCCCCCCCCCCCCCCCCCCCCCCCCCCCCCCCCCCCCCCCCCCCGCCCCGAACCGCAGGCTCCTCGCGGCCTCTCCGGGACTTTTAACGCGTCAGGAAGCGACGTCCTCCAGTCCAGAGGCTGGTGAGGGTCAGATCCGCCTCACCGACAGCTGCATCCAGGTAGGCCAGACGCGGGGAGGCGGGTCGGCGGGGTGGGGGGGAGATGGTGGCACACTTAGTCTTCATCCCCCCGCCCATTTTTTATTGCTTGCTTGGAGTTCTTGATCCCCCTTCCTGCATTTCAGAGGCTTCTGGAAATCACCGAAGGGTCAGAATTCCTCAGGCTGCAAGTGGAGGGAGGTGGATGCTCTGGATTCCAGTACAAATTTTCACTGGATACAGTTATTAACCCCGACGACAGGCAAGGACGAAGGATGGGTCGCCAGAAGATGTGCGGGAGGGATAAAAGTAACTCCAGTTTAAGATGCACTTTTATTCCAAATTTTAAAATGTTTATGCTTAACACAGTTCTTCCCATACTGAGAGGATACAGCAAAGATTTGTCCTCTTGTTTCCAAATGTGGAAAATTGGCTTGCTCAGGGTCTATAGGGTAATCAGTTGAGAGAGTCTGGACAAGATTCAGGCCCGTCCCTAAATATTTCTCCTGTTCATTATATTGAATCATTTTGCTTCAAATAAAGTGAACATCTGCTAGAGGTCATAAAGAGTACTTCATTATACTTCAGAAAACAGATGCACACCTCTGGCCTCAGAGGGTGTTGTTTTTGGTGTTTGTGATATTGATTCGTCATTAATGTTTTCCTCCCTATCTTTTCAGGGTATTTGAACAGGGTGGGGCAAGAGTGGTGGTTGACTGTGATAGCTTGGCCTTCGTGAAAGGCGCCCAGGTGGACTTCAGCCAAGAACTGATCAGAAGCTCATTTCAAGTGTTGAACAATCCTCAAGCCCAGCAAGGCTGCTCCTGTGGATCATCCTTCTCTGTCAAAATTTGATGCAATGAAGGTTGGAGATTGCCATCGGTAGTACCAATCTGAAAAACCTGCGATTAGTTGGATTCTAGAGGTTTCTTTCTTGTCATGTCTCTCTCTCTCAATTTTATTTTCTTTAATCCAGGAGTATTTTGTTTTGCCACTATTATTTACAGAATGTGAAGTTTTTACCCTTGGTGGAAACATTCTCCTTTCCCCTAGCACAAAAACGTTAAGGCAAGCTTGCCGATGCTATTGCCTCAGATTTAATCACTGGTTGAAACCCAGTATAATTTGTAGAGCCTCCAAAACTCCAAAATTTGGAGTTACTTCTCTGGTCTTCAGATTGCTTGTGTAAATGTGTATATCTATGTATAAAGCATCATTTTAAACTACATTCTTAATTGTGTTTTCAATCAGGATCATAGGTTGGGTAGCTTGGACACCAATAACTAGGCCAGAATGGATTAGAATGGCACATGAAATATTGCCTTTTTTTTTTTTTTTTGAGATAGGGTCATCTTGTTATAGCTCAGGCTGACCTTGACTTCTCAATTTTCCTTCCTCAGTCTCCCAATGCTAGAATTACAGACATGTTACCGCCAAGCCTGGTTTATTTTCCTTTCTTTTCTTTCTTTCTCTCTCTCTCTCTCTCTCTCTCTCTCTCTCTCTCTCTCTCTCTATCTCTCTCTCTCTCCTCTCTCTCTCTCTCTCTCTCTCTCTCTCTCTCTATCTCTATCTCTCTCCCCTCCCTCCCTCCCTCCCTCCCTCTCTTTTTCTCTTTCTTTTGGTGTTGAGGATTGAATCCTAGGGATTGTACCTGCTAGCCAAGCATTCTAACAATGAGTTATTTCCCCAGACTGTTTTTACTTTTTATTTTGAAACAGGGCCTGGTACTTCTCTGTACTCTCAGGCCTTGAATTTATAATCCTCCAGCTTCAACCTCACAGTTCATTGAGATTACAGGCATGGACCACCAGGCCTAATGTTATTGCACCCTTGAATGTGTTATGGGTTTATCCTTGTGTCCTATGCAGTCTATTTGCCTTTTGCTGTGTGAGAGGAAAATATGTATTATTGTCATACTTATGGATCAGCTAGAGCCCCACCCACAAAAAAGCCTGACCAAACCCCCACTGATACCCATATTATTTGGGAAAGAAACCAAATGTCTTTGATTTTATGCATAGTAGATAGTAGATCTATCTACTATGCAAAAGAGTGGGTTGCCAGATTAAATACAAGATGACCTGTAAAATTTAAGTAATCAGATAAACTAGTACTTTTTTCAGTGTTATTCTTTTTTAATGCCTTTTGCTTATATATGTATGTTGGACATAAATTTATTTGCTAAACCGTCAGTGCAAGCCAGTGGTCACTTAAAGAAAAGCTTTTCTCTTTTTAAATTATTTTTATTTTATGTGTATATTACCTGCATATATATGTGTACCATATATGTGCAATGCCCATGGAGGCCAGAAGATGATGTCAGATCCCCTGGAACTAGAGTTAAGGACAGTTGATAACTGCCATGGGAACCATGGGTGCTGGGAACCAAACCCAGGTCCTCTGTAAGAGCAGCCAGTGCTCTTAACCACTGAGCGTGTTTTTTTGAGACAGGGTCTCACTGTGTAGCCCTGGCTTGCCCTGAACTCACAGAGCTTTGCCTGCCTTTGCCTCCTGATTGCTAGGATTAAAGGTATATACCACCATGCCCAGCCTTAAAAACTTTTTAAAAATATAAAAACAGATGCTTATTACAGATCATTAGAAAAATAACCCAATTAACTACCTTAAGTAAACAACAAAAATTATACTACTGTAAGCTGACAACCTGACAGTGTGCAAATACTTTATGTTGGAGAGGCATGTTTGCCCTTGATGAGTTACATCTGATAAGTTCTCATAACATTTGATTCCACAGTGAATGTGTGAATCAACTTGACATGATTTATAAAGTAAAATTAAATAAAAGAGGTCAGTTTAAGAAATGGTACTAAGGGTTCTGGAGAGATGGCTCAGCAGTTAAGAACACTGGCTGTTCTTGCAGAAGACCCGGGTTCGAATTCCAGCACCCACATGGCAGCTAACAACTGTCTATAACTCCAGTTCCAGGGGATCTGATTGCCTCTTCTGTCCTCCATGGGCCTTGCAAGACACCAGTGCACTTACCTACATGCAGGCAATACACGCATACACATAAAATAAAATAAATAAAATATTTTTTTAACAACAACAACAACAAAAAAGAAATGGTGCTAAGGGGACTGGAGAGATGGCTCGGCATATAAGAGCATTGACTGCTCCTGCAGAGGACCCCGACTCAGTTCGCAGCACCCACATGGTTGCTAACAACTTCCATAACTCCAGTTCTATGGGATCTGATGCCCTTCTGGCCTCTGTAGGCATTGTGTAATATGGGTATACTTAGGATCTTCTGCAGGCCCTTTCTGACCAAATGCCTTCTTCCTGATGAACCATAAAAGCCAGCAAACATTTTCATAAATTTTACTCACTGCAAATTTATTTACTTCCCAGATCAATGGAAATATTTTTAGTTCTCACATACACCCTTCGCCCCAGCTGGCCTGAAACTCATTTTGTAGACCAGGCTGGCCTTGAACTCACAGAGATCAGCCTGCCTCTGCCTCCCAAGTGCTGGGACCAAAGGCATGCGCCATCATGTCTGGCTCTTTAGTTTCTTGAGTCAGGGTCTTCATTCATCCATCCTGGCCTTGAACACACTCTGTAGCTTAAACAGGCCTTGTAATCCTTTTAGGAATAGCTGAGATTACAGGTGTGTACCATCAGGCCCAGCTTCCCATTGCTTTCTTGTGGTTTTTTTTTTTTTGAAGCAAGAGTCTTACTGTGTAGCCCAGGTTGGTCTTGGTCCACAATGTAAGCCCCACACTGGCCTCAAACTCTTCATCCTCCTACCCCAGCCTCCTGAGTGTTGAGAATTACAGGCATGTGTTTCCAGACCCAGCTCTTCATTACTTTCAAGAGGAAGTTGTCAAGGCTTTAGTTGTTGCAGATTTGGTTTCTTTGCAAATCAGTGCCTAAGTACCTCGCCTCCCCTTTCTCTCCACTAGGGGGATTGAGCATAAGACCACGAGAGCACAAGGCCTCTTGGCGGCTAAACAGTGATCTTGTCTCTCTTTTTTTGGTCTTTTTGAGACAGGGTCTCCCTGTAGTCCCAGCTGATCTGAACTCACTATGTAGACCAGGCTGGCCTTGAACTCACAAAGATCATCTGCCTCTGCCTCCCAACTGCTGGGACTAAAGGCGTGTACCACCACACCCGGCCAAGTGATCTTGTCTTTAGCAAAACTCATACTAGCAGGGTATGGTGGCATACACCTTTAATCTCAGCACTACGAGGCAGTGAGAGATCAGTGATCTGTGAGATCAAGGCCAGCCTGGTCTATATGGAAAGTTCTAGGCCAGCTGGGGCTACAGGGAGACCCTATCTCAAAAATAAAAGAAAGCAGTTTTGCATGTTTGTCTGAAAGACAGATTTCATTTGCTTTTCTTGCTATCTAGGATTGATGCTTATATTGCTCTCTTAAAATTCTTGTGTGCCATTACCTCTCCACCTCCCAATAAAGGCATTGCAGGGCTGCTTGGTGGGAGTGCTTTAAGAAATTTAAAAAATAATTATCACCCGGCTTTAATATAAACAACAGACAAATATATAAAGGATAAATATATAAAGGGCATTGAAGCAGTGTGTAGCCAATAGCTGTATTTAAAAATATTTTACTTATTTTTTGAGTAGGTAATACATCTACAAAAATCTTTAAAGGTATACAGTGAAAAAATCTCTCAGTATTTTCTTTGTCCACCCTGTTACCCTCACCACAAACCATATTGTTTTCCAAGAGTTTATTCCAGAGATACAATCCCATAGATATAATGTGAAATAAATATGACTAGAGAGCTCACTACAGCATTATTAGAAAAGATAGGAGACAATGCAAATGTCTGTCAGTGAGGGACTAGTTAAGTAAATTATGGTTTATCCAACAGAATAGTATGGCAGCTATAAAATAGAATGGGACAGTTCTTTTTTATTTTGAGACAGGGTCTTGCTGCTGTATAGCCCAGGCTATCCTAACACACATAATGCTACTGCCTCAGCCTTTTGGATGTTGGTATTTGAGACGCATGTTACAACACTAGGCAATATGAGATAATTCTTTATGTGCAAGTATAAAGTGAAAAAAGTAGCTGGGTGTGGTGGTGCACACCTGTAATTCCAGCACAAAGGAGGCAGAATATCTTCAGTTCTAGGCCAACCTGGGCTACCTAGTTGGACCCTGTCTCAAAAAAGAAAAGAAAAAGTAATGTCAGAACGGCATGCATTGTATGCCACTTGTGTTTTTAATAAAAGGCAATATGTATATGTGCGTGCAGCATACCTGAGGGATGAACAGGAAGGCAAGGGTTCTGGAGGGTTCTGGGGGCAAGTGCACAATGCCAGCAGGGTATGTTTGAGGAATGATAAGTTCTCTGGTGGATGGGTGGAGTGGCAAGACAGGTTAACAGCTATCCACTTTCCTCTTTAGACAATAGCAGCATATCTTACTGTTATACAACTTCCTTCTTCTTAATCTTTTTGGAATATCTTTAATATTTTTTGTTTATTTTTATTTTGCATGTATGAGTATTTTGCCTACATGTATTTAAGTGCACCCATGTTGTGTAATGCCTGTGGAGGCTAGAAGAGGGCATCAGCTCACCTGAACTGGAGTTACTAACAGTTGTTAGCTGCCCTGTGGGTGCTGGGAACCAAACCCATGCTCTCTGCAAGAGCAGCCAATACTCTTAACCACTAAGCCATCCCTCCCAGCCCTGGGATATCTTTCTTAGGGTGTTTAGAATGTCTATTTGTTTGTTTGGTAGGGTCTCCCTAATCACAGCCTGCCTGGAAGTCATGATGTGAACCAGGGTGCCCTCGATCTCAGAGATCAACTGTCTCTGCCTCCTGAGGGCTGGAATTAAAGGTGCACACCACCATGCCCAGAGTTAGAATGTCTTCTTTTTAAGAATGCTATAGCAATTATTTCTGATCTTTTGCTATTATAAATACTGCTTTAATAAATAACCTCTTATGTATGTCATTTCACATTTGAGAATATATCTGAGGTTAAATTCCTAGAAGTAGAATTACTACATCAAAAAATTAGTGCCTGTTTATAAATTTAAAAGACATTGCCGTATCGTGCTCTTCAAATATGTATGCCCATCATGAGTGTCTGCTTTACCAGAGGCTTGCCACCTACCAGTCTGAACAAATGTTTTGGTCTTGACCAATCTTTATTTTTTCATTTATTTGTTTTTATTTCATGTGTATGAGTGTTTTGCTTGCATATTTTTATATACATGTCATTCAATGTCCAGGGAAGCCAGAAGAAGGTGTCAGATCCCTTGTTAGCTGCCATTTGGGTGCTGGGAGCAGAGCCCAGGTCCTCTGAAAAAGCAGCCAGTGCTTTTAACCACTAACCTATCTCTCTAGCATCTTGGCCAATCTTTAAAAAATATCCTCACTGTTTGTCCCCCCCAGTTCTGGGGAGGGAACCCCAGGACCTTGCACATGCTAGGCAAGCACTCTGCCAACTAAGCTAAATCCACAATGATCTCTTATTGCATTTTAATTTGCATTTCTGTTAGGAAGAAAATAATATATTTAAGAACCATTTATTTTTGCTTAAATATCTCAATGGAATAGCAATCTAATGATAATTTAAGGTTTCTGTGTCTGTTTTCTCACCTGTAAATTAGGAATAAAATAGTTAACAGTATTGTTGGATGATTAAATGAAATTTATGCACAACATTCATTACAAAGCTTGGATGTAGCAGGCATTCAATAACTTATAATTGCTGACAATCAGAGCAGCAGGTAAGACAGGGCAGATTAAATTAATAAGGTAAGTCATCTCCGTGTCCTCAGGGCATATAGCTGTGTTCATTTATGTTGCCATTTGTCAGAGAAATGCAGTCATTTTGCCTTGTCTTGGAAGGGAAGAGAACTTTCCCACTGTAACCCAGTCATAGAGTGTTGGCAGAACTGAACATGGGATAGGGACAGTTTCATCCCTAATCTTTAGACTTAACTAACATGATAAAGTTGGTGTGATAGAAAATAAAAACAAGGACAGAAGAGCCCAGATGTACATTTTTTATTCCACCATGGTTCTGAACTCCCAGCTAATTTGTGCTGAAGTACATCTCTTAGAGGGATGCCAGATATCCATTTTATGAAGGCACAGAAGGCAGAGACTTCCGACTAGAGGAGAAAAACATTGGAATTTGGCTTCCTGTGTACAAGACCAACTAAAAAGAAATCTTTGTATTAGCACATCAGTTTGGTTTTCACAAAAAGCCTAGGAGAGATTTGTTTCCTGTAGGAAGCATATGTACTTAATAGTCTCTGGAGATGAGTACTCTACCTTGTGGCTGCTCTCACTTCGGGTACACAGGAGCTATTTGGTGGATTTGAATACTTGTTTTCCCAAAGCTACCGAATGTCTTCTTTAGACTTGTATAGAATAAAACATGGCTCCCCCTTTCATATCATCTCCCCATTTTTTTGTATTGCCTGCTTGCTGCTTTCTCGGCTCATTATTCCTCCTCATTCTCACTCTTCATTTGTGTTTCTTATATTCAGCAAACTAGCATCAGTCTCTGTCCTCTGAGATGAGGAAATCTTTAGTGCCCCCTTTGGGCCACAGAAATGGCTACAAGATGGAGATTTTGGCAAAATCAGGGCCCACACCAGTTGACTGAGTAGTGGTGATGATTGAGAGGTGCCATTGGAGTCATCCTCCAAACTCTTCCAAACCCTTTCTTGCTCCAGGGCAGATGCAGCTGCTGTCCCAGTTATAGAATTATCAGGATGATGTGTGGATCACAGCTGGAAAGGGGTGCCTGCATGTTTGCACAGCCTGAGCGGGTGGATGAGGGCTGCTTTGATGAGCATCCCACAGTAAGGCCCTGAGGACAGGTGGTGGGCTGTGCCCCACAGCCAGTGGCTAAAGCATTCAAGCGTTTTGTGGTGTCTGAGCCAAGCAATGGCATGGAGACAGTGACAGAAGCTCACAGCCAGAGCCTAAGCTGGAAGAGATAAAAGCAGACAAGGCTGATAGAACTGGGCTTCAGGACCCTGGCCTGATGTCATCACCGTGTCTTCCCAGCTAGGAAAGCATCCTTAGGCCCCTGTCTACGGCTGAAGCTGTTTCCAGGTAGCTGCCCAGAGAGATTCCTCACTGTTACTCCTTGGCAGCACAGTGCGGCGGGCCTGGCTCTGCCACATAACCTGGGGAGCAGTGGCAGCGATAGGAACCCTCTGTGTTCTCGCAGTGACCATGGGCACAGAGTGCAGCAGGCCCGTTCAAGTCTTCACACTCATTCACATCTAAGGGAAGCAAAAGAGAAAGCTTTAAGGATCCTTATGTCCTTCTAGTCACCAACCCCTGCCCCCCATCCTGGATATGACACTTAAAAGCTGCCTCTTTCCAAACCACACAAATCACAAGCTAAAAACAAGAAGCAGTGATCTCAGATCTTGCACAAGACTCTGCCATCTAGTCCTAAGCCTTCTATTAAACCCTCCTTTGGTGGTTTCTCACTCATTAGTTTGCCACAGACCCCAGTAGGGGGCAGCAGCGTATTTCCCAGCCATCCCAATTGCTGGCCTATGGTAGCGGCCAGTCTCCTTGCTTCTTCTGGTGGAAGCTTACCCACACAGGCCATGTGGGCCGCATCCAGCTGGAAGCCCTCAAAGCAGTCACAGGTGTAACCCTCCGGCACACGCACACACCGGCCATTATCGCAGCCATTCAGGATGCCACATTCCTCAGCCTGAAGCCCTTCGAAGGCGGCCAGTGGTTCTGCTAGGAGAGGGTCAGACCCCAGTGCTTAGACCCCAGTCTCTCTAGCACTGGGACCTGTACCCTCCAGTACAAAGGTTGGTCCTGTTGAGTGCCAAGGGTAGGTTTGGTTGCTGGATCATAAAATTTTCTCAGAAAGACACCAAAACAAAAGGTTTTACTTTTCTGAAGTTTTGGAGCAAGAGACAAGTGGCTTAGTTTAAACGAGGGTGGAATTCAGTCCTTTCACAATCACCTAAGGTGTTTCTATGCAGATTTATGTTTGGTGGCATGTGTGTTGGGGGTGGATGTTTTTGTTTAGGTTTTTAGTTGTTTTGGGACAAGGTCTTGGTATGTATCCCAGAATGGCCTTGAATTCATCCTCCTGCCTCAGCTTCCCAGGTGTTGGGATTACACATACACATGTCACCATACCTGGCAAGATTTTCTTTTCTTTGTGGTTCTGGGGATTTAACGAGTGCCCTGGAAATGCTAGACAAGCACTGAGCTACAGCTCTAGCCCTTTTGTTTATATTTTTACATCATCTTTTTTGTTGTTTTTTGAGACTGGGTCTTCCTGTAGACCACCTGGCCTGGAACTCACTGTGTAGACCAGACTGGCCTCGAACTTACAGAGATCCTGAGTGCTGGGATTAAAGGTGTGCACTGCCACACTTGGCTACATCATCTTTTAATGGTAGGGATTGGCAGCAGAGGAGCCACATACCCAGTTTGTGGTAACCTCTAGGCATCCCCTACCCACTGAAAAAGCCCAAATTCTGCATGATGGGTGGTCCTAATCAGTATCAGTTTGATACAATGGCTGCACCTGTGGAGGGTACTATATATCAACCCCACCCCTACCCCGGGTGCCAGGCCTCAATTTGTCATGAATGCAAGGCCAGAGTCCTGGAATCCTTACCATTCAGTAACATGGCAGTAGGGGGTCACCACAGTGTTCCTTTAAAGTCATTAGAAATACTTAATTCACATTTTAAGTCACAAATTTGACTGGTTTCCTTAGAGTAGGCTGTTATGCATCCTATAAGTGGTGTGAGGGAGAATAGACCAAGCATGCCACAGTCAACTCCCACAGGGAAGCATTTGAAGCTGGGACAGTATCCTGTATCTTTTTGGATCCTTGTGCTAGTTAATGACAAGGAGTAAGTAGTATCAGACCCAGGCCTTTTGGATTTATGTCCTTGGTGATCATAACTGGTGACTTTTCCCTTTCCTACTAGCAACATAACTGGCACACAGGTGGAGGAGATGAAAGGGAAATAGCCCCAGAGCCCACCTCTTCTTCAGTTGTGCTACAACATACCTGAATGGCTGGCCACATAGTAGGGCTTAAGTTCAGAGGGCTGTAGAGGAGGTTCAAGGCTGGCCATATTGGAGAAGGGGGGCTGTGGGATGGTGTCCTCAGGGCCCAGGTAGTTGTAGAAGGGGGGCCCATCTGGCCCATAGAGGTTATAGTGCAGATCATCTGGGCTGGGGCCATACTCATAGCCTGGCCGGAAGTGGATCCCTGCCTCCCGCTCAGCCTCAATCCGGGCCACGTTACACAGCTGAGCATAGACCTCTGTCAGGGAGAAAGAGAAAGCGCTGGGATCCAGCTCCTGCCAGGTAAAGCTTGGTAAGCTGGTTCATCTGGCTCTTTCCCAAGAGGAGAACTTGAGGGGACTGGTCCCCTCTGGGAGTTCCTGGCAGTACCCCTCTCCCTCTTTGCCCTTGAACAACAGGGATGGACGGCAAGACTACTGCTTAAATTGATCTCCCTCTTCCTTCCAAGGTGATGGAACCCCCTTTCGAGAGCTAGGTCCAGACCTATAGGTAACTACCTGAGCTCCTAGGAGGGCACAGAGCACACTGCTGGCTCCAGGCCTCGCCATCTTGGCAACAGCATTCTGTATAGGTGGTATGACGCCCATGCAGGGGTTGACTGCATACATCATTGGTGACTTTTTTCCAGCAGATGTCCATGTGGATGTCATGGTCAGGGAGGTCCTCTGGTGGCACAGGCCCCAGGAGAATGTGAGCCCCAGCCCATGTGTGTGCCCCTGTTGCCCATGCTCCCAGCTACTTACCTATGCTACTGGTGCTGTTCACACAGCGCTGCCCACTAAGGTCCAAGGTGAGGGGAGGACTGCAGAAGCAATGGAAGGAACCTTCCGTGTTCACGCACTCACCATTCTCACAGGCCATGTCCTGGCACTCATTGTGATCTGTGGTGGCAGAAGGTGGAACAGGGCCAGGGTGGCCTGTTGATGGACTATGTTCATGGAAGGGTTTTCCTGAAGAAACCCATGAAGATGCCCCTCCCCAGCCCATCCTGGGAGGACCCTCTCCAGGGACAATCTCTGACAGCCCAGAGCTCCCTCACCTCAGACCTGCTTGTGGCAGTGAGCATCATCCCCAGGAAGAGGGACTCCCAGCAAGAGTAGGGTTACAGGTAGGAGGGCCTATGTGTGGGAGTCCTCACCCTGGCACTTCCTGTTGGAGGCATCATAATGGTAGCCAGGATTGCACAGGCAAATGTAGCCAGGCACTGTGTTAAGGCATCTGCCATTCCGGCAGAGAGCAGGTCCGAACAGCACACATTCATCAGCATCTGCAGGAGGGTGGAGTGAGGTGAGAGGAAGAGAAGAAACAGGAAGTGGTACTTACAACCTGGGACTCTTAAAAAATATTTTATTTTTATTTTATGTGTATGAGTGTATTGCCTGCATGTATGTAAATGCACCTGTCATAGAGTGCCTGTGGATGTCAGAAGAGGGCGCTAGATTCCCTGGAACCTGAGTTAGGGACAGTCGTTAGGCACCATATGGGTGCTGGGAATTGAACCTGAGTCCTCTGAAAGAGCAGCCAGTGCTCTTAACCGCTTAGCCATCTCTCCAGCCCCAACAACCTGGGACTCTTAAATCCAGCGGTCTGAGTTTAAATCCTGGCCCTGCCATTTTTGAGTTGGGCAAGTTGCTTAGGCTCTTGCCTCAGTTTCCTATCTAAAAATGTGATTAAATACTGCTTAATGTCTTATCATTGTAATGAGGATTAAGAAATGCTAATATGGGGCTGGAACAGTTGCTCAGCAGTTAATAGCACTGGTTGCTCTTGCAGAGGACCCAGGTTTGATTTCCAGCACCCACACGGCAGCTAACAACTGTCAGTAACTCCAGTTCCAGGGGAATCCAATGCCGTCTTCTGATCTCCATGGCCATTGTACAACATGGGTGCACTTACTATACACACATGCAGGCAATACACTCATACACATAAAATAAAAATAAAATATTTTTAAAAAAGAAAAGCTAATACATGCAAGACACTTTAAATAGTGCTTGGTACATAGCAAGCACTCAAGAAAAGGTACTTGTGGGGCGGGGTTGTTCAGTGGCAGAGTGCCTGCCTAGTGTGCATTAAAGCCCTTGGTTTTATTCTTAGCACACACACACAATTTCTTTTTCCATTATTTCCTTCTAAGGACTAGCTTCAGGAATAAGGCACTGAGGAGCTCAGTAATTGAAACTCCACAGTGGGCTCCCCAAAGTTTCTGGTTTGGTAAATGGAGCCAGAGAGGCAGCCAGTTTGCCCAACTTCTGTGTAGCAGTACACTACCCTCACCCTGTGTGTGCTCACATATGGTAAAGGTGAGGGTTAAATATGCCTCCATAGTGTACCCTCCAGACTTAAGGGAACAAGGAAACTAAGCTTGTGGTCATGTGAATAAATGACACAGGAGGAACTTGGATAAGAATTTCCAGCTAAAAGTATTGGGCACAAAAAGCCCTGGGACCAAAAAGAAGGAAGCAACTTGGGAGCCAGGGCTGAATGTAAGATTTCCCAGGACCTCCTAGAAGACCAGGCCAAGGCTCACTGTAGCAAATGGAGTTTGAGGAGGGGGATTGGAGGATGGTTACCTGTGTACATGGTCTGTCCAAATGTCCAGGCTCCTTCCACAGGGATATAGCCTTGACCACTGGGGCACAGCTCATTGAATTCAACTGTAAGGAGGCATCTGAGCTCAGAGAGGGCCTACTATGTCTCACTTCCCTCCTCATTTTTTTTTTTTTTTTGAGAGGGTCTTATTATACCATCTAGGCTGGCCTGGAACTTGATATAAGCCCCAGGCTGGCCTCAGTCTCATGATCCTCCTGTCTCAGCCTCCTGAGTGTTAAAATTGTAGGCATATACCATCACTCCTATTTCTTTTCCCCCATAAATGTTATACTGCATAGCTGACCCTAAGAGTATTTGCATCCCTTGAGGCCTTACCTGAGTCCTCAGATGGACAAGGATCACAGCTGTTCCCCCACCTGGTGCCCTGGGTGCAGCAGCACTCAGCCTGGGTGGAGTTCTGTCCCAGGATTCTGGAGCAAGGAGGACCACCATTGTGCTCAGAGTAGCATTCCATGCGGATGAGGCCTGGGGCCTGATTCCCTGTTGGGACCTCAGGGATGCTCTGAGCTGGGTGTGACAGGAGCCCCTTATTAATGACTGTTCATGACTCTCTGGGCACCCCAGCTCTTGAATTGATCTTTTAATGTTTATATAGAACATTATAGTATATGTTATCGTACATGGTACCCTTAGCTTCCCTAGGAGTGACTGCTGTTATTTCCTTACTACAAATGAAGTTGTATCTAGAGAAATTAATAAGGGGTGAAATGGGGATCTGACCCTAGTGTCTCTGGTGCTCAAGCCCTTGTCTTTCTAGTATACTACCTTGTCCCACCTCCACCCACTGTGGGCAGTCCCCATCCCTGGCATACCATATGAGCAGCCTTATGATCCCTTCCTATTCTCAGGGACCCCAGACCCTCCTACCCTACCTTTTTCCTTGCAAAGTTCCCCTTGCTTGGTAGTGAAGACAGCTGAGTCATGGTCCAGCCTGGGGTGAGAGCCTGAACCCACAGATCTGGAGTGGAGTAGCAATGGGAAGGGGAAGGTGCAGCTTACATGAGCCTCAAATCCTCCTTCATCCAGAAGACTCATCTAAGGATTGGGTGGAGTCAGGGTCTCTGCTAAACTCAATCTGAAGTCCTTGGGGCCACTATGTCAGAACACCCTGAGTTCCTCCAGGTCATTCCAGCCTGCAGTGGGATGTTGTCTGACAAGTGTTGGCAAGTGTAGCATCTGGACTCCTGTCCCCTCCATAATCCATTCCTAATCTACACTTCCAATTCTGGCCCAGTTAGTTAACCCTCAGTGGCAGGAACTAGATGAGTAGATGACCTTTGTAAACCAGAGTCCTCATGGAGAATGGCAGCAAGGGCAGTCCTTTGACTCCCAGGTCTCACCTCCAGCTACCCGAGGACGGCAGTGCCCTTCTTGTGTGTCATACTCCTCAAGGTCACTGGTACAGAGGCACAGGAAGGAGCCTTCCACGTTCTCACAGAGCGCAGCCCCACACACTGCCAGCATGAGTTCACACTCGTTCACATCTGCCAGGCATGAGGACAGGCTCATGTACAGAGAAGAGGCAGCTAATGCACCCTGTCCCTGCCTCCAGCCCAGCCAGGCAGGTTCTGATCCCCCGAGAGAACCATGCCTTGGTGGAAGAAGCAGGAATAGATATGAATAGTAGGAAGGGGGACTGATGAACAGAAGGCATGGGAGGGAAAAGAGATGAGTTGCTGGAAATGGCTATGAAAGTGGACAAAGGAGGGTTAGCCCCTCTGGACACCTCTTGAGCCCCTAGGGTTTCCAGGGGAGTGGGGCAGGAAGGAAGTGCCTTCCTTGTGCTTGCTATCTCTGTTGGCCAGATTGGCCATTCCCCTACCACCCAGCAGAGATGCTAGCTGGAAGGGAGTTGAACTCTTCTCTCCCCTTGAGCTTCCCTTGCCCACCCTCTGGGGGCCTGTCATGCAGCCATGCAACCATGAATGTTTCAGGAGTGGAACTTAAGACTTCCATCTTGGACAGAAAATCTGTGGAAATGAGATGGGCCCAAGAGCCTTCCCTGGCCCAGACCTTAGGTAGCCCAAGGCTTCTCACCGACACAGTCCCAGCCTGAAGGTGAGGTCTCGAAGCCCTGGTCACATAGGCAGCGGAAGGAGCCATCTGTGTTGTCACAGAAGCCATGGGTCCCACACAAGGTGTCATTGGCACATTCATCTATGTCTGTGGGACAATGGGAACCAGGGTAGAGGATGTGCATGGTCTGTCTGCTAGTAGTACTTATCTTTTCTATTAACACCAAGATCTGCAGAAAACAAACTCTGAAACTTAGGACAAGAAAGCTTTAACTAACATTCCTCTTCAATTTTTGTGTAAATTCTGCTATATGGAAATTACACAAACTTCAAACAGCTATCCAACAGTAACCTCTAGAGAAATTGTTTCTAGCTTAATACAGGGAAAGCTGGATGCCTTTAGCACTCCTTGGTCCTCCCACCTACATACATCTCCCTCTTCCTACTCACCAATGCAATCTCCAGTTGGGGCCATGTAGAAGCCAGGCTGGCAGCCCAGGACACAGTGGTAGGAGCCAGGGCTGTTCTCACACCGCCAGGCCCCACACACTCCATCATCCTCACACTCATCAATATCTGTCCCCAGGGCCATGAGAGGAAGCAGATGTGGCTAGGTGAGTGCTCTGGCCCCACCTTGCTGACATTACAAGCTCATGTCTCACCACTTCTGGGGGAAGGTCCTTGGTCTATTTTAAATTACTATGCTCATCTCACTCCCAAAACATTGGTTCAGAATAGTTTCCTCTGACCCAGCAGGCTGAGCATCTAGGATGAGTATGCTACGTCTGAGCTCTTAGCCTCCTGTGATGCTCCTTTTCCTTAATCCCATCTGATCCCCAGTAGAGCGCTTTGGATGCAGCCTTCACCACCGTGGGTGAAGGGAGCTGTCTTCATATCTCTCTTATCCAATTTCAAGATTGTCTATAACCATCTGTCCTATCTAAAGACATTGAATATAGCAGATGTTTAATATCAGTTGTATTTGTCCTTTAAAACGAGCTTGTATGCCCTGCCAGCTCAAAGATTATGACTGTCTTTATTTTATCAGCCTCAGACAGTCCCTGGGCCAGTAGAAGCTCAAATGCTTTATCCTATGATTGATCTGTGGGAAACACTCTGTTTCTTGGGAAGCTGTGTTTTTTGTTCCAGGATGCTGAGGATCAGATGGGGACACAGGTAGATGGAAGTGAGGCAGGGCCCTGTCCACCCCCGAGTCCTTACCCACACACTCCCCACTGTCTGGGGAGGGCTGGAAGCCAGTCTCACACAGACAATTGTAGGAGCCCTCCGTGTTGACACAGTGCCCTCCCAGACAGGGGTCTGTGGCTGCACACTCGTCCACATCTAGGATAGACACAGCAGTCAGCAGACCCGGCCATAGATCTCTGTTAGAATCTGTTAGAGGACTGAGCAGCTTCTTCTAGGCATCAAGCAGTCAGTAAGAGAGCCAGAGAGAAGCTCAGAGTAGGAAGAGGAAGGGACAATTGAGGACTGAAAACCTGAGGCCGTGCTTGGGGCAGGTTCTAGTGCTGGGGCTCTGTCAGCAGGAGAAAGGTGGTATTGAAAGACTTTGGAGAACATGCATGTCTATCACAGACATCGCAGAGAGGCCCTCCTGACAGACTGGAGTCCTTCCCTAGAAGCCTGGCTCTTTGCATCACTCCAGCCTTCCTATCGTCTCATCCCTGGGTAGACTGCGAGCATGTTACTCTACTTCAGTAAAGGTACTGAGATGGACTCCACGCTAGGTATAGACTCTAGAACCTCTGCTTCTGACCCCTAGACATGATCATGCTGGCTTCTCACCCTGGCAGCTGGTGCCCTCCTCAGTGCTGGCAAAGCCAGGTGCACAGAGACAGAAGAAGGACCCGTGGCTGTTGAGGCACTCGCCTCGGGGAGCACAGTACTCCTCCCCGACACACTCGTCTATGTCTGCAGGGGCAAGAAGAGAAGGGAGTGTCTCCAAGGATGCCCCCACCTCCACAGACATTGTCCCAGTCCCTAGTGGAGAGACTTGGAGCACTCACCCTCACACACAGTGCCATTGGTCAGCTGGAACCCTGGGGGACAGAAGCATTGGTAGGAACCTGCTGTGTTCTTGCATTCACCTCCCAGGCAGCTGCTCTGGGGATCTTCACACTCATCCACATCTGTAGGGCCACACAGGGGAGGGAGGCAGTTGATGGTGGCACCTTCCAAGGACCAGAGGAAAGAGCTCTACAAGTCCTGTCACCTGCCTGAGGTGAGTGGACCTGTGAAGCCATCTCCCCTCCTAGAGCAGTATAGCTGGGAGGCGCTGGTGAGAGCCATGGGGAGCTCCTATCACCTAGGGCTCCTCCCCTACCCATTAGCCCTGGCCCAAGGAAACCAAAGCCCTGGGAGGGCTCAGATTTCAAATATGAGAAGCAATGGGAAAACAAATGAGAAATAAACCAGAGAAGCATGCAGGGATCCTGGGAATGTAACAATAACTACATTTGTTTCTTTATGTGTTTGTTTTGAGACAGAATCTCAAGTAATCCACATTGGTAGTGCCTTAAACTTGCTAGAATGACCTTGAACTCCTAATCTTCCTCCCTCCACCTCTCAAGTGCTAGGAGCATAAGCCTGTGTAATTACGTCTGGCTTTTCTTTCTTCTTTCTTTTGGTGGAGATAGGGTCTTGCTATATAGCCCAGGCAGCCCTTGGACTTTCCTTCTGCCTCAGCCTCCTGAGTGCTGAAACTGTAGACATGTGCCATGACACTGGGCTGAAATTTGATATCTAAGCTTGGTCTTCAGATAGCCTAGTCCAGGCCAGTGTTCCCAAAAAGACCACATTGTGAGGCACAAGGAGTCTAGTTCAAGACCCAGGAAGCCACCTGTTAAACAGTGTCCCTCAGTACTGCTGAGACACTCTGTAGCCTGTGCACCGGTGGCTCAATGGCCTTGAGACTCAAGTCTCTACTTTCCTAATTTCTTTTGGGGAAGAGGTGAGAATATGAGTGTGTAGCCCACTATCCTGGGTTTACAGAGGAGCCCCCATTCCTTCTTGTGTTAGGTTAATCTTCTGTATCCCATCTGTGCTCTCCCAACTGGGGAGAGGTCACTTACCTTCACAGGTGTTGCTCAGAGGGTTGGGCGTGTAGCCCCTCTCACAGTCCTTGCAAGAGAATGAGCCCAAAGTGTTGGTGCAGACTCCTGTGGGGCAGACTCCAGGGAAAGCACATTCATCTAGGTCTTGGCAGAAAGACAACTGTGATCGTGGATCCAGGAGGGCAGTCCCACTCAGTGAGGCCTTCCCTCATCTCTCACCAAACCTCTTACCCATTGAACTTGGAGGATACTCTGGGTCCCTAGGAAAAGGCATGCCCTGACCATATTCTAGAAGGCAAACCCCACATTTCCTTGCTAGAAAACTCCAGTTTTACCCCCAACTTCCTTCTTTTGAGACAGGGTGTCATGTAGCTCAGGTTAGCCTTGAATCTACTATGTAGCTCAGGCTACCCTTGAACTCCTGATCCTTCTGCCTTCACCTTCCAAGTGCTGAGTGCTAGGATTACAAGTGTGGGCCACCACAGCCAGCTTCAGCTTCTCTTGTCTAATCTTTTTTTTTTTTTTTTTTTTTTTATAAAACAACTCTCCGCCGCACACAAAGACCAAACACACATTTTTTTCAGCCCGCTTCAGCTTCTCTTGTCTAATTTTTTTTTTTTTTTTTTTAATTGAGACAGAGTCTCCCTGCAGCTACAAGTCAGCCTAGAGCTCATTATGTAGCTATATAGACCAGACTGGCCTCAATCTCACAGAGATCTACCTGCCTCTGCCCTCTGAGTGCTGGGATTAAAACTGTGCACACTATACCCAGTTAAACTGATATTCTTTGAGAGCAAGAAGACCCATATTCTGTCCCTTCTGTCACCATCTCTCTAATGTTACCTTCACAGGCAGTTCCATCTTTATTCACCCAGTATCCACTCGGACAGGTTGAGCAGGTAAAGGAGCCCTCAGTGTTGAGACAGAGGCCCATGGGGCAGGAGGCCCGGTTGGCACACTCGTCCACATCTGAAACAAGCCATTGGATTCTGTATAGGATTCTGAGAGGCAGACATGCCAAGACAGCCAGAGACTGATACGCACAGGGAGGGGAGAAAGGACAGATCTCGGAAGGGATGTGCTAGGCCTGGTGGGCTGGTGCAGGGTGACTGCGGGGGCTGGTGTGCAGAGGGAAAGATGCTGTAGGCTGGATTTGCCTATGGAGGAAGGGCTCTACATCTTCTTACCTCGGCAGCCCTTCTTGTCTGAGGTGACTTCGTAGCCCTGCTCACAAGAGCATTTAAAGGAGCCTTCCAGGTTGATACACCTTCCATGAGCACAGACCCCAGGGGTCAGGCACTCATTCACATCTGTGGATAGAAGTCCAAGCTGATGCACTGACCTTTTCTCCCTGCAGTACTCTGCTCTGGTAAGCTTAGAACATCTCAATTATGAGTCCATGGAGCAAGCCTTTGGAGGGGCTGCAGGCCACCCTGGGAGAGCTGTGGAGCTATGCTCCTTATTCCACCCAGGCAGAGCAGGGTCCTTTCCCCCTGAGTTCTCCTCAGCTCCCTGTAGTAAGATAGAATACCCTGCATAGTCCTGGGAGAAAGGCTACCTGAGGACACTAGAAACAAGGTATCTAAGACTTTTGACTCCCACCCTCTTGGGTGTTTGACCTTTCTATAATCTCTTACCTGCCACCCAACAACCCATGTTCTCAGCCCAACAACCAGCTTCAGTATGTGGGTGGGCAGTGTGGAAAGAGGCCAGGCTATGCCTGGGTGGCTGTGGCCATCTTGAGAGCCTGGGAACCATCTGCCCTCTCCAGAGCCTCAAAGCATCTATTCACAACACAGCCCCTCCTAGCAGCAGAATCCTGGGCCCTTCTTCCTGTGGGGGCTGGGGGAAAGATCACTCCTCTTCCCACTGACACACAGCTGTCTTGGGAACAAGAATTGAGACCACTATTCAGTGAGTAGCACTGGGTGGCAGTGCCATCATATAGAAGAGCAGAGGGCCTGGTGGCTGGCTTTCACCATCATTCAGTCTCAGCCCAAGACCCTCAGAGTTCTCACTCCACTCCACAGGAGCCAACCACAAAGCTTCTGGGACTTTGGGCTGGAGCTCCAGAACAGATGTGGCCAGGAAGCAGAAGAGGCCCCCACCCTAGCTGATTCAGAGGGCAGAGTCCCATAACTGAAGAAAACCCATGTCATGTCTAGCATCATCTGAGATGGGGGGTAGTAGCTTCCAAACCACATCCCTCTCTTCCCTCTGCCCACCTCTTCCCCTCCCTGTGTGTGGGCTCAACCAGCCATCCCAAGGCTGAATGGCCCTCTCAGTGCCTTGGCAAGCAGCCCTCACCTACACAGCTCCCACTCTGGCCCCTGTAGCCCTCCTCACAAGCCAGACAAGTGTAAGAGCCAGGGGAGTTGATGCATCTCCCATCAGGACAGGTGCCAGGGTGACGACATTCGTTGATATCTGTAAAACAACAACCCCTCCCTTGGTCATCTTGGAGAGTCATAACCCATGGGCAGCTCCATGACTACAAACCCTTGACCCTGCCCTTGTTTAGGGAAAGGGATGTCAGTTTCTGTAGCGATGAACAATAGGAAAAAATGAGTTTCCCTGTGTTCCCAACCCCACCTCTTCACTGTCCTCGATCAAAGAGAAATGACAGAACTTAAAAATAGATTTCTCAGGTGGGTTGCTGTTAGCTGTGGGAAATCAGAGAACTCTGTTGTGAACTGGACTGTTTGGGATGACCTTCATATCTCCCCTGGTGAATGCCTAGTCCTTTATAGGTGGAGGTCATTGCTGGGATTAGACATAAATAAAGGCTGCCTTTATTCTAGCCAAGAGGCATATTAGTCTTCAGTACTCATTCCCGAGATCCAGGGACCTCAGGCAGCAAGAATGAGCCTGGGTACTGACAGGGCAGGCAGCGGGGAGAGGGGACACAGGAGGGAAGGTGACATCAAAGAGGAGGAGGGAGATCTTTCCCTCAGGAGCTGAGTGTAGGGTGCTTCATCAGTGACTTGCCTATTGGGTACTCCACCATCTAAGGTATGCAGGAGACATGAACTGGGGTAGAGAGGCCATACCACAGGGACTGAGCTCTGAGTCAGAACCACATGAAAATACTATGCTGCTCTGGCCTAGATCTCAAAACTGATAATCAGACTGGCTAAGCTCCAAAGCTTATTTATTATCCTAAATTGGATTTATTATCCTAAATTGGCAATTATTATCTGGGAGAAAGTCCACCAAGTTATGAAGACTGAAAAGCCCTACTACACAGAAGGAAAACTCACTAGGCATCCATGGAGGCAATGTAGAAGACAGGCCAAGGGAGAGAACACAAGCTTTAGAAGGAAAGGACTAAAGCCAGCAGCTGGCGATGTAGAGCAGGGCAAGGGCCCTAAAGTGGATGAAAAAGAGGAAGAGAAGCTGTTTGGTCTGCAGAAGTCAGGACCCATCAAAACTGTCTGTCCCAGGGGACTTAGACTTGACTAGACTTGACCCAGCACAAGGCTTGGCCGTGAAGCTCTGGAAGAGGAGAACATATCCTCAGGGCAGGTGATTATTCAGGTGAATATCTACAAGGATGCCCATATCCTAGTAATAAGGCTCATCTCTAGAAAGAAAGGAACAACAAACCCTTAGTTGGGTTGTGGTGGCAGTATTCAGCTGAGCTATTCTAAGGGTCTCTATAAAGACAAATGGAGAGCATAAAGGATCCAGAACCTCCAACTTTAGTCACCCAGGAGACAGCATCAGCACCAGGGCTTGCCGCCCTTGGCTGAGTTACCTGAAGGAAGATGGATAAAGCCATTGAGAAGGAGAAATGATTCATCTTTCAAGGGTATGAGACTTTGGAAATGAAAAAAAAATTGAAGCAAGGATGCTTTTTATGCCATACTGATTTTTTTAAAATGAAAGTTTTGAACCTCTATTTCAGGTACCTGGCAAGACAGAAAGATTGCATTTGCAAAGAGGAAACAAGGTAGGAAGATTGCATTTGTCAAGAGGAAAGGACCCTGAGGTCTCTCCTACCTTCAGTGTGTCAGGAACATTTGCTGAAGGTCCATGCAGCACTGGATGCTGGTCATTTAGGATACATAGTACTCACTAATGTTCACAGAAGAGTCTACCTTTTCATTTTTGGACCATGATATGTTTTTGCCTCCTGGTCACTTGTGGTTGGGTGGCATCAAAAGATAAGTGATGGCAAATGAGGTGTGAGTGGGTGCAACATGGGTAGCTTATGGACCAAAGCACTTCACTGTGTGCAACCCTCTAGAGCCTTCTTTCTCCCATGGAGACTGGGCATATTCCAGAGATAGGCTATACTTTAGGCCTAATACTAGAAGTAAGGAAGCATGGGGCAGAGTCCCAGGCTGATCCATGATGGACACATGGCATTGAGAGACATAAGCATAACTAAGATTGGGGTTGTTTGTTAATGCAGCATAACCTAGTCCAATCTGCCATGCTACTCCCAGTATCCTTCTTAGGTCAGAGCCCCAGGTAGTGATAGTTAGTGATGATCATTTGTGAGAGGTCTCTGAGCAAGTAAAAGAGGTCAAAAGATCAGAGCAGCCCCTAAGTCTCTACCTGAGCTAGGGAAGGCCTCTTCTGAGTGGGAGTGGGAGTGGCCATCAGCCAAGCCAATGAAGGAGCCAGATGAAAATTCTGGATGGAGTAGATTCTATCACCAGATAATCTGAGGTTATTCCATCCAGTGCATAGTAGATGAACTGGAGCCTGTCACAAAGTGGAGATTTTCTACCTAGTCAAGTGTTTGCATTTTATGTATAAGGTTGTGGTATGTTTTGGTAGGTCTCAGTACTCTGGTTGGTAGCAGGAACTATTTATTGCTGTAATCCGAGTCCATGACTGGTACACAGCTGGCACTCAACAAATGTTTGCTGACCAAAAGATAGAACAGTGTGCCTAAAACAATACCCATTATCCTCTTGATATAAAGCTGCTGAAGAGACTGCTAAAGGGATCCATGGAAACTGTCACACCTGGGACCAGCTTGTGAGTCAGCTGTGCGTATACTAGGAGGATCCCTGAGTGCCTCTGCCAAGGATCAGCCTCTCCATGGCAAGTTGTGAGGGCACTCACCTCTGTTCCTGGTGAGAGTATAAGATGGGAGCGGAAGCAGGGGCCAGAAGTTCAGGGGACTTTGTGTGAGAGTATGGGACAGCTAAGGCCTTGGTAGTGTTCAAGAGAATCTGCTCCCTGTCCATGGGAACCCAGATTCCTGGTATGACAGAAATGTCATTGGGACTATTGCATGGACCACTGTCCAGACCTCATAGTCTCTCACCAGTAACTTCAGGTTCCAGTGGAGAGAGTGGTTTCTTCATTGGAGAAAGAAGAAAGAAAGAGGAGATTGACTGGGTTCCCAGGGTGATGGGCTGGGTTTGTGGTTACTGATGGAAACCTGGAGAAGTGTACCAACTACATCATTCTTTCTTTAACAGTCCCAGAGAGTCTTCCTGAGACAGGCACTCAGCCTGACCTCCTAGATGAGGTATCTGTCTAGAACCTTTTCTCTGGATGGGACGGAGCCATCCAAAGCAGGGCAAGGATGTAGAGGAGTCTAGACATGAAAGGGAAGGGTCCTCACAGTGCTGTTTCCTCCTAGTTTTGTGCCCAAAGTGATGCTGAGTATCTTGCATATGTCGGTATGCTCAGTCCTCTGAGATGAGCATGACAGTTTCCATTTCCCAACATGAAATATTAGCTAAAGCCAGGCCTGTCTGCACCAGAGCCTGTGCCATTAACACAGACTGGTTAGTATAAATCTGATACTTTAAATGTTCTGGGATTGTTCTGTTTCATTTCCTTTAGTTTTGCTTTTCTTTGTAATAAATCCTAATGCCAAATGCATAATGTTGTGATACCTAATGAGGTTATCTACCAAGCACTTAGCGTGGCTAGTTGGCAATACAAAGTACCTATCAAGCATCTTCACTCTGCATTCTCTTGGAAATGCCAGGTTGTCTTGACCCTGTTGATCTAATGAGGACAAGGGGAATGGGTTCCAGCTTTGATCACACATAGAGAGGTGACACACACCAGGAGTGAAGACACTTTGTCCTATACTTATAGCTGTATTTCCCCTCCTAGGACTTGTGCTTTGCTTCCATGATAGTGGACTAGAAAAGAGTCTCCCCAGTACAAGGTCCACAAGCCCACTCCTTACCTGCAGGATCCTCTGGAGCCAGGTAAGACCTGGCCAAGGGAACCTGGAGGCCATAGGGAGGCCAAGTCTAAGGCTGGACCCAGAGCAAGGTCTTCTCAGGGAGGTCTTTGTTTTACCTCTGTGTTCCTGTCTCAGCCAATTTGAGGAGCAAAGTCTGAAGCATTTTACACTCCAGCCTGTCAGGAAGGTGGTAGTGGTGAAGCTGCCAGAACGTTTTCAGAGATTATAGGTTAAGGGCAGGCACAAGCTGGTCTGTAAGGAGACTAGCTGGCAACATCCTAGCCATCTTTGGGCTGTGTTTGGAAAAAGGGAGAAGGATCTTGGATCCATCCATCCATCCATCCCTTCATTCATCAACTAGCATTTGTTGGGTAACCATGCACAGGTTGTCTAAGGATATGGTCTACCCCTCAGGAACTCATGATCCAACAAGCTTTAGGAAGACTAAGTTCCCAGAGAGACTAACTCTTTCTCTCCTATACAGGGAAAGTACATTTTTCAAGGTGATTGGGCAGAGGTGTGAAAAGGAGATATTTCTGTGGTGTCATGTAGATTTGTACTTCCCTGCTACAGGGGGCAGTCAGGATGCCAACATATCATCAAGGGGACAGAAGGGCTCAGGAATTCATAAACATGTCTCTTGGGGATGGGTTCAGCGACAAGGTAATCAATGGCAGACAGAAGGGGAGTTGGTAGTGGGCAATGTGTGGGGCAGCAGGCTGACCCATTATCCCCACTCCTTACCTTGGCAGTGTCCTTTCCTGACCATGATATATCCCCGATCACACTCGCAGTGGTATGAGCCCTCAGTGTTGCTGCACCGCCCACCACTGCACACCCCGGGCTGCTGACACTCATCTACATCTGTAAACACACAGGCCAATTTTGAGTCAAAGTCAGACCTGGAGGGGGTTCTAGGCATCCTTTCCAGAAGCTCTGAAGAAAGCTACCAGGCTGAGGTCCAGGCAAGGAAAGCATGCTTACTCAGCTGGGATTGGCTGAAGGTGCCTTCCAGGATAGCTCTGAGACTGCTCAGACCCTGCTGTCCCCTGAGTTCTTTTCTCTCAGGGGCCCTATTTCTGGGGCCTAGGGGAGCCCTTGAAACTATCCTCCTGATGTAAGGCCTGGTCTTGAGACCAGGTAGCAGTCCGTATGGTATGATCTGAGGAGGCCAACAAAGCTTCCCCCTGCCCCAGCCCCAGTAGACAGTGGGTCTACTACTAGGATTCTTCCTAAAAGTGTGTGTGTGTGTGTGTGTGTGTGTGTGTGTGTGTGTGTGTGTGTGTGTGGAGAGAGAGAGAGAGAGAGAGAGAGAGAGAGAGAGAGAGAGAGAGAGAGAGAGAAATATTTTAGGGTAGCCAAGATCTGCAGGTCTGCAGGATGTAGTTTATATCATTATGTCCAAAGTATACTGACACCCCATGATGGCTGGAAAGCCCAGTCTCAGACCATTCTTTTGCTTCATCCCCTACCAGGGCTCCTGCTATCTCTAGTTCTACTTGTAGTCTGGCTCACAAACCTGGCCCCAGCCCTGACATATTTCCTCATTTGCCCACACTCCTTGATATAATCTTAGCTGTTGTAGATTTCCATGAGTCCAGCCTCCAAGTCTCTGCTCACAAACACGCCTCTGCTGGGAGTGTCTTTCCCCTCCTTGATGACCAGTAGATTCCTACTCCTATTTCAAGCACCAGATCTGAGTGCTGTGGTTACTCCCTATCTCCACCATCAAAGTCATCAGGGCCTTATCTCTGCCCCTATACTTCACAGAGTTCTTTTACAGATTGAACAAGATACTTCAGGTGAAGGGTTTAGCACAGTGCCTTCTGGGCTGTAGTAAGCACTGAGGAAATGTTTGCTCTTATTGTTCATCGTGCTTCCCTTTGAGCAATCCTTCCAAACACTTCAGTGCACAGTGGAGTCTCTGACAGAGCTGTCACATGCACACTCCTCAGTCCCCATCTGGAGATCCTGACCCCAGTACAGGGCAGACCCAGAAACCTGCATGGCAACAACTCTCCCAGCAATTCAGAAACAGCTGTCCTTTGAGAAGCTCTACTGCCGAAGGAAGAGAAAATGGAAGGCACTCAAGGGCAGAGCCATGGAAACTGGATGAAAAAAATGTGAGGCCAGGACCATTGACCAATAAATAGATGGTGCTGGGAAACTAGATTTATGGACAAGAATGGAAATGGAGAAAAAATTTTTAAAAAGGTCTTTAAGGTCTGTGCAAAGATGGACCCCAGTTGGATTAAAATATTTTGTAAAAGGTAAAGTTATAAATAAATAAAAATGTAGAATATATTTGTGACTTCAGGGAAGGGCTTCCTAAATAAAACTCTAAAACATTAAAAATAAAGTCAAAGGGGCTGGTGAGATGACTCAGTGGGTAAAATTACTTTCCACAAAAAAAAACCTGGTAACCTGAGTTCAATCCCCAGAACCCACATAAAGATGAGAAGAGAGAACCAACTCCACAAATTTGTCCTCTGACCTCTACACACATGCTGTGGCACATGCGCATCTACACACATACATGATGATGATGATGATGATGATAATAATAATAATAATAAACTAAAAAATTTTAAATGAAGCAAAAAGATTAATTTCCTTGTATCAGAATTAAGGATTGTTGTTCAAAGAAGGACATAAAGGATAAGTTAGTGAACAGAGGACAAAAATGCAAATACTGCAGTATCTAAACCCAAGCAAGCATCTAGAATATACAGGGTATGGGCCAGCGACATGGTTCGGTGTGTAAAGGCACTTACTGCCAAGCCTGATCACCTGAGTTCAGTCCCATATAGTGGAAGAAGACAACTCCAGCAGGTTGTCCTCCGATCTACACACAAGGATCCTTGCATGCATATACCCTCACCCACACAAAATAATAAAAATGTAATAGAATATACAAGGTACTCCTAAAAAGTCACAAGAAAAAGTAGCAACTACACTTAGAAAATGAGCAAAAGATGGGAGCAAGCAATTCACAGATGAGGAATCCCAAAAGCCAAAGCACAAAGAGATGCTCACGCTTATTAGAATGTAAGTATTGTTTAAGCCCTTACTTAATCCTTAATATTTAATTTATATATATGCCTTTTTTGAGACAGGGTCTCCCTTAGCCCTAGCTGGCCTAGAACTCACTATGCAGAACAGGCTGGTCTTGAACTTACAGAGATCTGCCTGCCTCTCTGCCTCCTGCATGCTGGGATTAAAGGTGTGTGCCACCACCGCCAGCAATTATTTCTACTTAAATTAACTTAGAAATTGTAATGGTTTATAGTAAATAAATTAATTCATGAATACAAATCAATGTTAAATTAAAAGATTGAAATAATGAGACAGTGCTTTATGAGACTGGCCAGTTTAGGAAGTGGATGCCATGTTGGATTAGGGCCATTCAAGTGGCAGCCAAGTCCCACTGGCAGAAACACTTGGACTGACCTCAGGCTCCTCCCTCTCCTGCAGCTGTCAGGGCTGGCAGAGATATCCAGGCACCCAGGCTGGCATAGAACAGAACCCCTTGTCTGGGCCAGTCCTGGCAATACCATCCCCTGTAGCAACCACAGCTTGTCTAGGGCTAGCTCCCATGCCAGCCTACACAGAGCAGTGCCTCTGGTCACCACACTTGCCCAGCTACTGAAGGCTGGAGACCCCTGTTCCCTGCCTTTCCCCTGGCTCTGCCACCCTGCTCTGAGCTCTGCTGTCAGCACCTTCTCCCTGACAGCCAACTGACCGAATCATCCACCCTTAACAAACTCGCCTGGTTGTCACTGCCCACGAGACAATGTGCTAAGTACTTCAGCTTGGCACTTGAGTCACTTTGCAGATTGGTCTCAACTCCTACCTCTTTTACCACTGACCCCACATTCTAGTCACCCTGACTTCATCATTATTCCCAGGGCATGCCAGATCTGTTCATGACTCTGGGCTAGAATTCTGGTTCTCTTTGCCTGGAATACCTTCTGCTCCCTCCATTCCTGCTCATGCTTCCAATGGTGCCTAATACCATGCAAACGAGTACTTAGGGTGGTGCTAAGTACAATAAATACTTATTAAATGGTAGCTACTGCTATTATTCTGCCCTAGCTCAAGAACCGCTTCAGAGAAACCTCAAATTCTCTTCTACAGCCAGTCTCTTGCTTGTCTGACCCCGCAGTGTCACTATTCTTGCTCATTCATTTCTGTGTCATCAGAGCTTAGCACAGGGCCTGACACCTGCCTGCTCACTGAATGATACACCTGACTCCCTCAGGCTTCTATTAAGTTGAACTGTCTGTCTTCTCCACTTCCCTAAATAATGAAGTGAGAAGAGCTGGATGTCTTAGGGTTCTGTAGGCCAGATCCTTAGAATCAGACACTGAGGAGACTCTGACAATGGGAGATACACCGTTCCCTGGCCACCCCAGGGGGCCTGGGATGATGGCTAGAGGCAGAAATGTGAGTCCCAAGAACAGGCAGGGCTATTCTCAAAGTGAAAGCTTCCCAACTGCTTCTGAATTTGAAGACACTGCTTGGAAGGTGTTGCCTTGTTTCTCTGTGAACTCATTCATAAAAATGTACCAGAGCATTCTGTGTTATTGAAGGGCTTGTATCAAAAGCCGTTTACCATGGGGTCCCTAACTGTAGCCAGAGAAGATCAAAGCCTGCAGGTGTCTCCAAATTGCTGGGAACCAGAACTCCTCTCCCAAAGGCACATCTGTCTTCTAGTCTGCTGACAGTCCAAGCTCCCATCCTTAAGGATCACCCTTCTTCCCCAAAAGGAAAGCAGTTGCTTGTCACTCAGTCTGGAGCTTAGCTTTTCCCCATCATCTGCCAGGTCTCTGACCTCTTCTTGGCGCTAGCCACAATTTGTGGAGGCCTTTGCAAATATTGCTGCCTTCTGGATTCTGCTTTCTCTTTGTGATCTTTGCATGGGTTCATCTTCCTCCCAGGTCAAGGCCAGAGTCCTGTCTCCTTTCCCATGGTACTCCTCACATGATAACTGTGCTTGAGGGTTGTGACTGTCTGGCTCCTTGTCCAATAGCTCTATAAGACCTGGCGCACCACAGGACTAAGGCAGATGTGACTTACCTTGGCACTCCTGTGTGACCCCTAAGGTGGCCAGTGTGTAGCCAGGATAGCAGAAACAGGAGTAGGAGCCCACACTGTTGACACAATGACCTCTTCCTTCGCAGGGATCCCTCAGGCACTCATTGTCATCTGGCCAGAGGGAAGAGGGAGGAAGGTCAGGGAGGCCAGTGTGCCTTTCTCCGGGCACCTGCCAGCCGATTGCCCACACTAGGGGATGGTATTGTGTGGCATGGAAGAGGTGAGGGAGGAGAGGAGGCAGGGGTGGAGATGAAAGTCTCCAAGGCTAAAAGCTACAGGACAGCCCATTGGGCCCACCTGTGTACTAGGGTTCCTAGGGTGATGACCAGCGCCTCCTCCCTGCCTCTTGTTCTCTTCCCTCAGTGGCCCCCCAATCACTTCCTTTGTCTTTCAAGATCACAGTGGATGTTTCTCCTTTACACACAAATACTGCAGGGGTGGGGAATGATGCTCACACCTGATGATTTATCTTAACTCCAAACATGTCCCCAAGGGACAGCCCTGGTGGAGTCCTGGATCTGCTCTGCAGGCCACTTAGAGGACTAAGCTGATCTCAGAGTAAAGGGATGCTAGGTCCTGACTGGGGACCCTCTCGCTTAGAGTCTGGAGGCTCACAGATTGGTCTTATCCCAACTTAACATCAAGTTAGCTGTGTCCACAAGGGCTGCTCTCCTAAATTCATCAACTACAGCTCATTGCTTGGACCTTTGCAGCCTGGACTCTTGGCTCAGTCTCCACACCCTAATTCCATTTGTCCTACCACTTAGTAAGCACAGGATGTCCAAGTGATTTACCAGTACAGTAGGCCTGGCTGGGGTGCAGCCTGTAGCCAGGGCTGCAGACACATTTGTACCCATTTGGGAGGTTCACACAGGTCCCAGGGCCACAGATGTTGGCAGCTCCAGCAGCACATCGATCAAAGCCTGTGGAGATGGAGGAAGCAGAGGTTATAGCAGGATGGAGGGTAGACAAAGGCACTGGAGGAATATGGGGAGATCAGGTTCAGGGGCCTCAGAAGAGCATCGGAAGTTACCCCACCTTTGCTCTGCCCTTCCATATCAATGTATAACATGGCCTCATGTAAGACTTACTGGGACTCTGCCTGGCCTCTGAGTCCCACTCAGACTGAGGCTGGAGTTTACTTTTGCACATCCTCCTGGCTGAGACCCAAATGGCTTCTAGTAACCCAAATTCCCTCACTCTCATCCTAAAAATGAACACAGCTCTCACACATAGAACCAACACCACCCAACAGATAAATCTGGTGAATAGATACATAGATTGAGAAAAACTAGCTTATCTGTCCTGTATCTCCAACACTAGAGAAGCAACTGACACTGAGACTATGATGAATGAATGAGTGGATGACTGAATGAATGAATGAGCCAACAAAACAATAAGTGAATAATGTTTTCATCCTGTGCCCAACCCTGAGATCTTAGCCTAAATCCCACATACCCAGGGCTCCCTGCCTGCCCCCACCACCATGAGAAAACCCAGATGCCTCAAAAGAAGGCATGGGTTAGAAGTATCCTGGGTTGATGCACAGAGGGGCTTCACAGTACTTAGTAAGTTGCATTAAACTGAATGCTCACACTGGACTGTGTGCAAGGTAATTCTTTCTAGCCTGGTTCCAAGTTTGTGTCCACATAGGGACTCCTCATAGTCCCCAGTAAGGTTCTAAATGTCCACTCAGAGGGTGAGGTTGGAAAATGGCAAGGCTGAAGGGGGAATCAGTCAAAAAGCTAAAGCTGCTGGTCCCCACATGGTTGAGGGCCACTGCTGGGCCCAGCCTGGCCTCCCCACACCCTTTCTCCAGGAACGTTTTCATTGCCATTCTAATTGCTTCCCAGCTGAGCCCCTTTGCCTAGTTCATCCTGCCTGCTGGGAAGGGGATGTTCCCTGGAGTCTCAGGGGGCCTTACTCTGAATTCTAGGAGGTCAGTAGGGACCCCCTCATACATCCACACCTTCTACCCTCTACCAGACTGCAGGCATTCATTCTCCTTTCACTGGAGGAAATCCAGACACTGCACCCTCCCTCCCAACCCTCAATCCTACTCAAGATGACTCAGCTAAGAGCACAGCCGGTCCCTGGAGAGAGCAGGTAGGAGGGCACACCTGTACACAGGGAGCAACTATGACAATGCCACAATGCTAGCCTTGCCTCTCTTGAACCAAGTTCGCAGACATTGAGCCTTTGTGGAGGCCACATTCCACAGCCAGGTGGTTTGCCAGGGCTCCCCCATACCATCCCTCATCACCGTAGCTGACCAGAGGGAGGTGGATACAGGCTTTCAGACTCTTCAATAACCTTGTGTAACAGAACTCTTTTTCTTCCCGAAAACAGCCTTCTCCATGGGCAGGTGGCTGCCACTGCCAGGACTCTCCAGGCAGGGCTGCCACTGCCAGGGTAAACAGCTTGGAAGAGCCTGCTGCCTCCCACTCCATGAGTTCTCCCTCCTCAAGAGTGCCCCCTGAATTCTCTAGGAAGATCCCCAGCCTCTGTGGAGTCCTCTGAGTAAGACCTTTCACAGAAAGGGCTTTAGTTCCCAGACAGGGCTCATCTTCATGAGGGTGACCCTGTACTCTAAGAGGCCATGGGCACAGCCTGGTCAGAGTCCGCTGGAGACTTCATCTGGTTGGAGAGGCAAGGGACTGATTTCATTCACAGCCCTGCCCTGGAGTTGGCTCTGGACAGTCACGAATCCCAGAGGTGGAGGCAAAGAGCCTCTAAGGTCCACTATGGCTACCTGGAGGACTCGAGGTCACCAGCACATCCGTGGAGGGAACCACTGGCTCTTCTGGAATCTTTGCAATTCCTTGTCCGGAAGGTGGTGTTGGTCTTCCAATGGCATCCTCTGAAGAAGACAGAGGGGAGCAAGTGGTGCCCCTTGAATATCAATGGCTCTTCTACCCTTCTTCATGTTCAGACTCCTAAGAACCAGAAACCAAGCCTGCCCCCCCACCCCCACCTACCCATGCCCCTCTCTCCTGAAACTTGACTACACAGAATCAGAGAATCTTAGAACATATCTGGTCTCCTCTCCCTCACAGGAAAGGAGTCTAAGGAATACAGAAATGGACACTTGTCCAAGGCCAGTTAGCTTGGGGGAGGCAGAACTGCAACTCAGGCTCCCAACACCCACTTCAGCATTCTCTTTATTTTGTTTGCAAAATGTCTTGCGGTTTACAGAATGTCAATGCAAATATAGGCACCTGGTTGCTGTGGGAGGCAACAGAACAGGTGTCATGTCCATACCACAGCAGGGAAGGCTAAAGCTCAGCCTCCCAGTGTCTGAGCTCAGCTCTGGTGAGAGGCAAGCTCAGTGTTAGGAGGTAGGATGAGGTCCCTGGAGGAAAGAGCTCTGGGACCCAGCCAGACCGCTACTTTAGCTTGTGCCTCCTCTTTGGCCTGATTTACGTGCTGAGTGGCATCATGAGATTAAGAAAGAGTTTGGTGGTTAGGAAAATGTTTGCAAAGCATCATGGGACCTCTCACTAACCTCACAGCCCCTTAGGGGCCTTGAGTTCCCAGAAAGAGTGCTCACATGCCATGTCACTCACCACCTCTAATTTGAACCCCATGGAATAGCTCGTGGATAGTCACTCCAGGACTAAAGTCTCTCTTTACCTCTCTTCTCTTCAGCTTGGGAGATTCTAGAAGGAAGAACTCACCTGGGACCCAGGCAGGTAGGAAGGTAACACTGGTTGTGACCTGCACAGAAATGAAGGTCATTTGGGGGTTCCTCTGTTAACTCCTAGTCCTGCTTCTTTCTCCTATACCCACCCTACCCCCTTCCTGTCCAACTCTCTCAACTCTTGACATGTTACCATGTTCCATGTTTTCTGCTAGGCATTTTCTAGTCACAGTCTTAACTAATCATCTGGACTTCCTTATAATATAGAAGCTGTAGTGGTTAAAGGTATGTTCTGTGCCAGCTCAGTGCTAGCCACACAGTAGAACGTTAGCATTTATGGTATCAAGATCATGACCCCCATGTTACAGATGGAGTAACAAATGCTACAGAGATTAACTAGATCATCCAGGGCCACAAGGCCAGTATGATGAAGCCAGTACCCACAGCCACTCTTGGTGTCCCTCACCATGACTGCACAGAGGCAGTTAAGCAACAGAGCAGCATAGAAGGATAGAGAGGCACTGGGGCATGGCTGGAATGTGAAGACACAGAAGGGAAGCTTTGTCCGAGAGGACAGCATGTGGTTCTCAAGGAGGAAAGCAAGCCTGCTGGAGAAACAGTATGTGGAAACAGGTTAGTAGATGAGCAGGAACCAGGAGACTGGCGAAGGACTAGTGAAGGATAAAGCAGATCCACTCTTCTGGAAAGTTCCTGAGGATGCTCAGTCTCAGATGCACAGGGGAATCCTGGGCTCAGGGAGGCCAGATGTCCTTTCCTCAATGAAATGGTTTGAGGGTCTTCACAGTCATGCTGCTTTCCCATGAGCCACTGACAGAGGGAGACCTTGAGGCATATGCTAAACCAGCTCAGGAATGTCAGATTCAGCATGAACTAAAACCAGCTCTATGTTTCATGCATAGCACTCAAGCTTGAGTGACAGCTGGACCAGTCCCTCCCACCTTCCTCAAAGGTCTGACCATCCTTGATGGGAAGATGCTCACACAGTGGCTGCATCACAGCTGGGACATTTGTTCTCACTTGCTAAAGGGTCAAATGGGGTCCATGGTTGCTGAACCCCTCACTTTGTGGCTCTCCAGCTGTGTGTGAATATAAACCATCCTTCTTTTCTGCTCTCATAGGACTATACCCAGGGCTCCAGGTCACACTCTTTGTCACCCAACTCCCAGTTAGCAGGACTCACTCACCTGGTTAGTCTGAGGGTCACCTGGGAAAAGAAAGGTGACAAAGTGAGCTCAGGGAGGGGTGGTGGCCTTCTGCCCTCCACTGATAGCCTGGCTACTTCACAGTCTATGCCCCTCACCATGTCCTCAGCAGGGTGAGCAGCATACTGAATGTGACTCTTTTCAACTGCCTCTGCCTGTTACCCTGTTAGGACCAACCACCCCAAGAAGCCCAGGGCTAGAGGGCTTACAAGTAGCCTCGCTCACCTCTCACTTGGAGAGAGGAAGTCTGCTTTCCTTCGAGGTACCCAGTGACAGGAGTTCCCACCCCTACCAGGTCCCATTGGCCCTGTAACACACCTCCTCCCTCCCATGGCCCTGATCACATGGGTTGCTCTTACTCCCCACCCCTCACCCCCAAGCCCCCTCCACCCCTGGCCATGGGCCAGGAGAGCAGTTCTGGGAAGGGAAGGAATTGCTCCTGAATGAGCTGGTGTCCATCATCCATGGTTCTGTCTTCACTTCCCTGTCCCAGAATTACTTCCTGGAGTAATTTTGGCAATCGCCTAGTTTGTTTGGTCCTTCCTACCTTCCTGGCCTCCTGCACTCAAGTGACCTGGGCATAACTTCATGGTTTTCCAGGGCACCTCCTAGAGATCTCAAACACAAGCTCTTTCTGGCCTATATATCCCAGTTGGAGCTATTGTTCTGATCCTAACGCAGGGAAGAAAAAGCCTGCAGACTCCTTGGATGCACCTGCTAGCTCTCCATGTAGACCTTGCAGTGGGCACCACCTCCAGAAGCTGCATGGCTGGACAGGGGAGCTGCCAGGTGGGACTGCTGCTGACAAACCCCACTTCCTCAACCAATCTTCTAGGGCATGAGTACTTCTTGACCCCACATGGGAGAAGGAGAAAGAAAGGCCTGTCGTGTCAGGCCGTGAGAGAAGGTTCCCAGAGCTGGGCACTGTTGCCCACTGTTCCCTTTCCTAGTGCCTCAGAGACAGGAACCCAAAGACCTAAAATGAATACCTGGGCCTCTTTGATGTGCTATAACCTTAGAGAAAAGAAGAATCCTCAGATGTCTCCTCCAGCCCAGATACCTTTATCAGGGATGGTCCCAGCCTCGAGCCAGGTGTCAGTGGCTGCTGCCTGGAGTGGCTGCCTCCCCACTGCCCCAGATAGGGATCCACGGCTCTTCTGTGCCTGTTCTCTTGAGGGTCTAGCCAGTTCCTCTGCCTCAGCTTTCCTCATGGAGAGACGGATGTCTGAGCTTGAGTAGGTGTATCCATGGCCAGCAGGGCAGATTTCCCTGAAGGCCTCTGAAAAGCCAATAGCCAGAGGATGAGCTGAGCCATGCCATTCCTGCATGAAGCCAGAGCCCCGCTTCCTTTCTCAGGGGATACCATGATTGGGACAGCAAAGAGGGATGGAGCCCCAGATCAGATAAGGACTGGAATAGGGAAGGTAGATGGAGTCTTCTGGCTTGAGGGGATCCAACTAGGCTGGGGAAGTGGCCATTGACTCTGAAGAAGTATCTTGATGGCCAGGGCTGGGGTGAGGATGGGGGTTACCTGTGCCAGGCATGGGGCATTTCTCGCACTTGCTGCCCCAGGCTTTGCCCACACGGCTGCAGCAGCATATCTGCTTGGTGATCCGCTGTGCTAAAGGTAGAGTGCAGGTGCCAGGCCCCAGTGACCGGTAGCATAGTCCCTGTTGCATAGAGACTGCCTTGTCCGCTGCAACAGACAGGGCGTGTGGGGATGGGCAGGTGGCCAGTGGGAGAGAAAGCATCAAAAGCCATGGATGGGGGTGTGGCCAGCCACAGGCACTAAGACTAGCCTGGGTTACATCTCAATATGGAAGTTTGGAGTCCTAAAAATGCTCACAAGAACTTTAGGAGGAAAGGCTGAAGTGGATTGCACCTACATCTCCCTGTATTATCTGCCTGGTGAGACCCTCGGCTCCCACCATCTTGTGGGGAACCTGAGAACAGGAAGTGAGAGTAGAGCTGCCTTCTCCCTTTGAAGTATTTACTGACAGCTCTGTGTGTGCCTGTAGATGAGTGGAGAACAGCCTAATCTGAGGACCACAGGCAGCCTCATTTGGAAGATGAAGCCAGGAGGGAACCAAAGGCCTGCCAAAGAGCTCTGAGGATGGGGACTCTTTCTGGGTTGTCTTTGGCACTGTGTCTGGTGTGTGTGGTAATGGATGTTGAATTGATGCATGCATGGCTTACTTAATTAACCAACCAAGCACTAAATCTGGGACTGGGTGTGTAACTCAGTAGTAGAGTATTTGCCTAGTGTGCTTGAGGCCCTGGATTCCATTCCTAGCAACACATACACACACAGAGAGACAAAACCCATTGAATCTATGAATTGAAATCCTGTGGATCCAAAGCTAAAATAGTCTTTTTAATATTATCTCAACAGAAGATGTGACCAAGCCAGTTTGGAAGAAACTTAAATTTTTAGAGGGAAAAATAGACCCTTGGGGAACAAAGAGTAGAGTGAAGAGGACAATAGTCAAAGCTGAGGAATTAACGATTCTGGGGAAGTCCTGGTCAGTTCATATATCTGCTTGCTCTCGAGCTTTGTGACTCTCTAGATCTTAGCCTCTTTATGTGTAGAGTTAGGATAATGATAGGCTACGGATGGTGAACATGTACAGGTTTCTGTCTGTCTGGCATATATGGAAGTTTGTATTGTAGAATAAGTACCCTGATTCACTATGGGCACCACCCACCCCTTTTTCCTCCCTTGGGCCCTTCCTGATTGAAGGACTGAAGTCCATAGCCCTGATTACAGTGATTGAGTCAGGGACAGGTACTTGAGTAAATAAATCCCAGGGTGCTCAGCTTTGGGACTTTCCTTGGATTATTAGAAAAGAAGTACTCATGTTTAGAGAGAGATTTCAAAGCTGAGAGCCTAGGGCACATGGAGACAACCCTTGAGGGAGTTATGAAACCAACACAGGAAACCGAGACTCCGGAGGGCATTGTGGGGACCCGAATAGACTCAAGGTCACAGTTGCCCACACCCTTCCTAGTTGTGCCTATAAGTTGATTTCTTTTTTGCTTAAGGCAGTTTGACTTGGGTTTCTGTGACTCTGACTAATAAGCCTTCCTCACAGTGTCATGGAGATGAAATAGAACAGGGCATGTGAACATGCCTGGCCAAAGGTCATGTGCTATATACACAGGTATCTTATCCATCAGTCCATGACCCCAGGTCTTCAGATGCAGTTCTGCTGCAGTGGTCACTTCTCTTGGGATACTGAAGAGACATGTTCTGTCCCTTTGAATCCCAGGATGGACTCTTAGGAAACTGGACCAGCCTCCATAGACTACTCTATAGGTGACAAGGAGAGGGGACAATGCTTAGAAACCAGCTTGCCTTCTCTATTTGCAGTGGGGTGGATCCTTGGAGGAGGCTGAAATGAGTAGCCTTTGCCAGGAGGGAGGGGGGGAATAAAGACAGAGCTACCTGTGCTTTCCTGTATTAGGGTGTCTTATTGGCACTCAGACATTAAAACTGCGTTGGATGTTAAACATACCTGCCTGATCTTAAGTGACCTGCAGGAGAAGGGTTAAAAGTTCCTTGGGGCCTTGCTTATAGATCATTGCCACCACAAGTTTTCTGGAGGGCAGACTGGTACGTTCTCCCCACTCTGGGTTCTCTTACTCTCTGGATCCTCTCCTAAGGTTCTTAAGGTCGTTTCTCCCAAGAGGCACCAAGTCCAGCCTCCCTTTCCATAGGCTAGGCTGCTACCTCTGGGTGGCACCAGAGTCTTGTTCCTCCCATAGCTTCCCAGACCCAGGAACAGGTAGTTTAACAGGTAGTTTGTTGGCTAGCCATGGGGAGCTCTCTGAGCTTGCCACATTCCAGAGGCCAGTAGGGACTGGTTTTATTCAGCTCTGGTCAGGCTTTCCTATAAAAGAAAAGCTTCATATGGTCTGTGGTGTCAGCTCTGCTATTGGGGTGAGGGAGAGCTGCCAGCTTAGACGGCTCTCAGCTGGAAATCACAGAGGTCACTAGAAACAGAGCTGCCAGGGTTTCCATGCAAGCATACACACATTCACAGCACAAGGTTCACAACTCATGATACGTATGTTTTTATAGTAGCGGAGATGCATGTAGAGGCAACCACAGGATAATAGACAGGCCAGAATGGAACAGTAACACCACTTATCCATGGACAACTGGGTGACCCTTTTAAAAGAACACTTAGCCACATGACCAGGCTAAGCTCAGGCACTGGAATAAGCAGCTGTGGTTCAGCCAGACACTACCACAGAGGCAAAACACACCTCAAAAGTCAGTAAACAGGACAAAAATAACAAGAGAAACAAACAAACAAACCAGGAAACATGAAACCCAAACTGCTGAGCCTTAGGAGTAGAAAGCAAGGCAGTAACTACCAGTTCCAACAAGACACACAGGTCAGTTTTGTTCATTGGCCCGACTCCAGAGCGAGTAGCAGACTCTGGTTCTGGGCATGGGGCCATGAGACCTGGGGAAATTTACTTCTTTGGGCCTAGCATGGGGCGTCTCCCCTCCTGTCCCCACCAGGGGGGTCTCTCACCCCCTGTCCCCATCATCACTCACATACACAGCGGCTCCGTGACGGATCCAGCATGAGGCCAGGTCTGCAGGTGCAGAGGTAGCTGCCCCTGGTGTTCACACACTCTGAGTCCTTGCACAGGCCCAGAGTCAGGCATTCATTGATATCTGCAAGGATGGAGGGGATGACCAAGTGCCCAGCCCACTGAGGCCTGATGGCTGGGAGGGGCTGCACAGACCTTGAATACTCCCCAAATAAAACAAGAAAAAAAAGTGCTGCTATTTGTTGTGTTCTCTCACTCTCTGTCTCACTTTCCTTATTTGCAAATATGGGGATACAGAAAATAATGACCAGACCCTGCTGTTAAAAGAATCAAGAGAAAAAGTGCAAGCCACTTAGTCGACTAACTGGCATATAATAATGATTCTAGCATGAAAGTTAATATTTGTGAAGTACCTCCCGTATGCTACATGCTCTGTTGGTATCTGACGTATGACACCTCATTTAATCTCACAATTTTATCAAGCAGATTCTTATGCCCTCATTTTATAATGAAGAAAGTGAGGCTCCAAGAGTAACTTGCCCAGAGTAGCTCAGCTCTGGTGACTCTGGCAAGTGGCATCCAAACAGCAAAAACAGGCAGACAGTACTGTCTGAATTGGAGGGTGGTGGATGGGCAGCTAAGTCCCTCCTGTTTAGCCTACTTCAAGAGTCTCTGGGTACCTCGAAGGGTACTCAGATCTCTGCAGAGATTTGGAGGCAGGAGGCTGAAAGGTGGTGCTGAAGGGCTGGGGAAGGAATGGGATCAACAGGAAGCTGGGAGGGCATGTATGTAGGCCTCCAGGAACCCCCTTTCTCATGCAGGTCGTACCCTGTCCCTTCTGCCCCCAGACCAGCAAAGGCTCTGCTCTTCCTCAGACAAGGACTAACTTCCTCCTGATGTCTAAACTTCTGCTCCAAAGACCTGACCCTCACATGCTGAGCTCTAAGTTGGGGACCGTCTTGGTGACAGTCCCTCTATTGATGACCATGATATCTGCACCGATGCTGAGCATGAAGATTTTGTGAAGGGCATCCAACTCCAGGGCCCACAGCTAATTCAAGTAGTCCAGTGCCATCAGAGCCCCCGTTTGCCCTCAGGCTTTGAGGAAATTAGCACAAGATGAGCGAGATAGTTAAATGTTAACTTGCCACAACCTCTAATTAGCTGAGAAGAGTCTCAGTGTGAAATTACTGGGATTGATTTGGCCTATGGGCATACCTGTGAGTGATTTTCCTAGTTAGGTTAACTGAGGTAGGAAGTCCCACCCTGAATGTGGGTAGTGCCATTTCATGGGCTGGGCCCTGCACTTTGTAAGAATAGAAAGGGCTAGCTGAGCAGCCAGCAGTAAGCAAGCAAGGAAGGGTGCATTTATTCTCTGTCTTCTCTTGACAGTGGATGTGCTGTTTTAAGTTCCTGCCTTGACTTGATTGCAATAACTGGACTGGAACCTGGAACGTAAGCTGAAATAATAACTTTCTCCACAAAGTTGCTTTCAGTCAGGGTATTTTATCACAGTCACAGAAATGAAACTAGACCAGTGAGGGACCAAAAGATGACTCAGCATTGGCACCAAGAGGAACTACTCTTTGGTAGGATGCCCATGGGGGCAGAGGTGCCTGGCAGAGATGACACTGAGAGTTGGGAGGGAAAGCAATTTGATTGCCTCCAGACTAGATAGAGTGATGCACCTAACTGCAAACCTGACTTGCCTCCCCTCCACTTGGGAAGCTTCAGGGCTTCTCATCGCCTCTAGAGGGAGCCCCTAAAGCATGACATGGTATCCAAGGCCCCTCTATCCCTTCTCAAAACCTGCATGGGCAAGTGGTCTCGGGACTTTGACAGGCCTGGGCCTGTAGTATCACCTCCTGTGTGCATACAGGCTGTGTGCCCAATGCCCCCTGATGCCCCAGAGAACCCAAAGTGTCTCTTTGCTTACCCTTCTCCCTGGAAGGTCTGCACCCCCTGCATCTGGCTAATGTATGCTCATTTTAAGTCTTGGCCTGGCACTACCTCTTCCAGGAAGCCTTCCTTGATCCTCCCAGGCTGGGCTGGACCCTACCAGGGGATCCCATAGCACACTTATCGAGAACCTTCTCTGGTTGTATGTAACTGGGTGTCTGTTTTCACCTGGGCCATGGACTGTGTCTTACCTAGAACAGTGGATGAAGCCCTCAGCATGCACACACCCCCTCCCCTCCCCCATCCTCTTATCTCTGCCACGTAGGTAGGATGGCTTCAGAGAGGAGAGATGGTGAGTGTGGGTAAAGAACTAGTCAAGTTCCTTTCCATTGATGGACAGAGGGACAAGGCTCCCTGGGTTTGGAGCTACATCCTAGGGGTTCTGTGGAGAGCAGGCAGGGAACTCATTGAGATCCCAAGAATAAAAGGCAGAAAGAGCTCTCCCGCACCTGCTAAGGCTCTGGGTCCACATCCACTGAAGGAGATTAACTCTGGGCTAGGCTGGGACAGAGGCCTGCCCTTGGGCCTGGTCTAAAAACTTTCCATTATCCCTGAATCAGAAACCCCTTCTGCAGCCTGGTGCCCCACTGGTAATAGCCACTCAAGCTTCCTTGCCACCTCTCCTGAAAAAAACCTCCAGAAAGGGGACCTCACAGCCATTTGGGGCAAGACTATCTCAACACAGTTTTAACCAAAGCCATAGAGGCAACTATACATTCAATTATTGAAGCGCTCTGGAGAGAAACTGCCCAGCTCCTGATGACCTGGCAAATCCCAGAACTCCACTGACAGCAGGTCCCAGGGAACAGAGACATCACACAGCCCCTCCTTCTGTACCAAGGCACTCCTGAGCCTAGCCCCTCTGTGGGCTCTAATGCAGACCACCTCAGCCTCAGCTGGCCCACAGAACCATCAGCCAGCAAGGCCAATGCAGGGCTAGACTTCGTGGTCCTTCCATTCCTACCACCAAGACCCCTCCCCTTGTCCCTGGCTGTGGGCTGAGGCAGGTGGGAAGGAGACTCAAGCAACTAATCATGCTCTCTTGGAAAGAACTTGCAGTGGTCCCCACAAACTCAGTGTGATTTCAATTTCCACTTTGGTGGAAATTCCTGCTATTCCAGGGAGACCAGCCTGAGAGCTGAGTGGGTGTGGAGGGCTAGGAGTGGTACCTGCAGACACAGTGCACACACTTTTGGGAGTTTCTGGACATTTTCTCAATGGGGGTGGGTGGTCCCAGCTCCCCTGGCTCTCTCAGGCAAGTTCCTGATGTTCTAAGATTCCTAGAACCAGCAACCCCAAGAGCTCCCACAAACTGGGGCTTAAAGGTGCATAGTATATGCCTCTCAGGCAATGAAAGATGTTCCTCCTTTCTAGGGGGAGGAAGAGGTATTGCTTCTGCATTAGCAGCCTCCCCCCACACCCAGCCCCAACCCTGATCTGGGTTATCCTTACCTTGGCAATGGGTGAGGTTCAGTCTCTTGTACCCTTGTGGACACTCCAGCTGGCCATTTTCAATCACTGGGGAAGCTGAGGAGTGAAGATACAGATAGGTCTCATGAGAGGGCCCTTAGGCTCCTCTGCCAACATGCTGTGAAGTAAAGTGGGCATAGTCTGGATGTCCTGTGCATTCAGCAGCTTTGAGCCCCTCAGGTCATCCTCCTGGGCAGATGTGCCATCTTGCCTTTACCAGGTTCCTTCTGGCCCATCATACTTTTTTTTTTTTTCCGGTCTTTTTGAGACAGGGTCTCCCTGTAGCCCCAGTTGTCCTGGAACTCACTATGTAGACTAGGCTGGCCTTGAACTCACAGAGATCCACCTGCCTCTGTCTCCCAAGTGCTAGGACTACAGGCATGCACCACCACGCCTGGCCTACATTCATACTTTTTAAAAGATGATATTGAATGAAATCATCCAGGCACAGAAAGATAAACACAGACTGATCTCAAATCTGTCTGGAATCTGAAATAAATGAACCCACAGAAGCAGAGGAAATGAGGGTTACCAGGAGCTGTGGCTGAATGGGGAACAGTTTGGGGAGCTAGTGGTCAAAAGGTATAAATTTCAGTGCTGGCAAGATGGCTCAGCTGGTAAAGGTACTTGCCATCAAACCTGGCAACCTGAGTTTGAGCCCCAGAACCATATGGTAGAAGGAAAGAATTGACTCCCTCGAGTTGTCCTCTGACCTCTATACACATACTTTGTGGCATGCACACTCCTACACATGTCCATCATGCACATATACAATAAATAGGTAAATGTTAAAAAATAAAAGATATAAATTTCAATTAGAAAAGAAGAATAAACTCAAGAGGTCTACTATACAATATGGTGACAATTAATAACAATTATATACTTGAAAATCACTGAAGGGAGATTTTAAGTACACTCATCCCTTCCTAAATAAGCACAAAAATAACTGATCCAATTAGCATGTATATTAATGCAAAGTAATACACATTTTATGTGTGTATATGTGTATGGTGTATGTATGTGTTCATGTGGATATATGAATGTATGCATGGGGATATATGTGCATATACACTTGTATATGGGTCAGAGGATGATTTTCAGATTTTTACTGTCTTCCTTGATTGCTCTTAGCCTTGTTTCTTGAGACCAGGGTCTCACCAAACCTGAAACTCATCGATTCAGCTAGGCTGTCTGGTCAGTGAGCTCTAGGGATCTGCCTTGGGATTACCAGCATATATCACCTTGTTGGCTTTTTACCTGGGTACTGGGAATCTGAACTCAGGTCCTCCCTCATGCTTGCATAGCAAGCACTTTACATACTGAACTCTCTCTCCTAATACACATGTTAATTAGTTTATTTTAGCCATTCCACAATGTGTTCATATTTCAAAATATCACTGCACATTATATATGCATATATATATTAGAAAAAAAAATTTGGTCTTTTTGAGACAGGGTCTCCCTGTAGCCCCAGCTGTCCTGGAACTCACTATGTAGACCAGGCTGGCCTTGAACTCACAGAGATCTGCCAGCCTCTGCCTCCCAAGTGCTGAGATTAAAGGCATGCACCACCATGCCCAGCTAATAAAAATATTTTTTAAAAATTAAAAAAAAGAGAAATACCCATTGATCTTCAAGGGGGCAAAAGCCATTTTTGCAGATCTTATTTCCCCAAGTTCCACAAAGAAATTTTATGAACCAGTGAGATGGCTCAGCAGGTAAAGGCACTTGCTACTAAGCTTGATGACCTGAGTTTGATCTCTAGGGCCTACATAAGTAAAAGGAGAAAACTGTCCTCTGACCTCCACACATGCACCTTGGCACATAAGCACCTATACCATGAGCACACAAACTAAATAAATAATTTTTTAAAAGATATCTTCTGGGCGTGGTGGTGCACGCCTTTAATCTTAGCACTCAGGAGGCAGAGGCAGGCAGATCTCTGTGAGTTCAAGGCCAGCCTGGTCTACATAGCAAGTGCCAGGCCAGCTGGGGCTACAGCAGACCCTGTCTCAAAAAGTCAAAAAAAAAAAAAAAAGATATCATTAGTTCTTAAAGGTCTGGTGTTGCAAAGTTAGTCACAGAATAACCTTCTAGAGCACCTGTCTTTTGACTTTGATTCTTGTGACAATAGCATGTCTCTGATGGCTGGGCTAAAGGAGTACACATAGTGCTCTCCTTCTCTGTCACCATACTCTAATCCATTTATTCCAGCTGAGCATCAGTGGCTATACTTAGCTGTTTGGTAAAACTTATTTTGGTCCTTATTAGCCATTTATTATTGAGAATGTTCTCTAGCTGTGTCTTCCTTTACTAAGTGATTTCAGAAAAACTAGCTCTTCATAGGTTTTACTGTTGAAATATATTCTTGCACATACCAAGGGGCTTGTTAGAAATAGTGATACTTTAATCCAATTGTACAGCCTGGTTGAATGTGTTGGTGTAGGACAAGGTCTCACTTTGTAGTCCAGGCTAGACTCAAACTCTTGATCCTTCTGCCTCAGTCTCCCAAGAGCTGGGATTCCAGGTGTGTACCACCACCACACCTGGCCTGACGATGTTTTTCTAAGCACAGTGGTGCTTAATTATCATTAGCTGTTTTTGCCAGACACATCATACACTTAGGGCAGGACTTGTTACCAGCGATAACAGATAACTGCATCTCATATAGTCTTTTTGACCATTTGGCTTTTGGGTACCTTTCAGGTCATATTCCAAAAACCATTATTTTTACCTTGTATTCTGGCTGATGACATGTCATCCTAAGACGTGTTCGCATTATACCTCTCCTTATTGCTTATGATTATGTCCCCAGTAGCATCTTGAGCCCACAAGTTCTTTGCAAGAATTTTCTAGTCACTCCTCTGCTTTTGGAGGACTTTTTCATTTAATACCAAACAACATCAAAATCCAGGAAACAGAGCAGTAGGGAAATCACATTACATTGCAATATGACAAAGTCAAATATGAGGAGGTGCCAGTCACCTGGAAACCCCACCCTAGCACATATTGCATGCCAAGCAAGACATGTGACAGTCTGACATATGAACAGATCAAATGAGGGCATACACTAGTAAAGCTTAATGCTTTTTTTACCATTCAAAATGTAGTTCAAGTTCTAATATTTTCCATGCCATGGCCTGTTTTGCTCTGAGTTTTCATGATCCTCTGTGGGGATGAATACCTGGCCAAGCAAGTCAGTCTTATGATGATAAATATGAATTCTGAAAACACTAAGATTAAGACAGAAGGATGGGAGTGATGCTAGGGAATGTACATGTCCATGGCCTGGGGGCTGGTGGTATGAGCCGAGCACAGGGAGGATGAAGAACAAGAGGCCATTGTCTGGAGAAACTCAGAAAGCTGGCTGATTAGATGCAGCCTGTGTGCATTATGAAGAGCAGAAGGTGGAAGAGAATGATGAAAAGCAGCTGCCAGGGGCCTGAGGGGTAAAGCCAAGGTAGCATTTGTGTGATGCTCCAGTAGCAAGGACACTGGACCATACCAACCTGTCTTTCTCACAATAGTAACTGTCAGGCAGGATCCTTTTTCCCATTTACAGATCAAGAAGACACAGCTCAAAGAGGTTAAGAAACTTGCCCAGGTAAGGAGGTTGGTGGGAATAGAGTTGAACACAGGCTTTGATCACAAAGGCCATTCATGTATTTTGCACTTCTATCTGTTGAGAGAGAGAGAGAGAGAGAGAGAGAGAGAGACTGGCCAACCTGCTCAGGCAGGTCTGGCTAGGCTAGCAGGCCAGGGAAGCATTGCCTCCTAGATGTCAAGAGGGAGCAGAAGTCAAGCAGGTCTTTGCTTCCTGGGCAACTAGGACCAGGGAGAGATCTTGGCTAGAGCTGGGAGCAAGAAGGGAAATGCTGCTGGAACCTGAAGAAACCATGGGAACACGGGTCATGCAGTAAGCTGAGAGGACCCAGCTGCAGTCATATGCAAGCACATGATCTTCCTACACAGGAGACCCTGCATGGTAAGGAGGCTGCTCTCACTGGACTGAAGAGAAAGTATTAGATGGGTAGGGCTGGAGGAAAATAACTTCCAAGCTCCTGTCTCTGGTGACCCTACCAATTTTGCCAACAGTTCCTACTTCAAACTGGCTATCTCCATACCTTTCCTCACAACCCCTAGATTAGTTTACAAGGGGCTTCTGTAAAACCAAGTCCAGCATCAATCCAGAAAAACCAGCCTAACTCACCTTGAATAAAGGAGCAGACATTGTGATGTCTACATGGCCTACAGTGAGAATTCAGCAGCCACTGAGTTGTGTGACTCACAGTGATGAGGAAGGCAGGTGCTCCTCCTGCATGCTCCCAGCGCACCAGCCTTCCCTGCTCATACCACTTAACATGTTATGCTGTGGTCACTTGTTGGCTTGTCTGTCTCTCCCCCTAAAGCACAAGCCCTGTGAGGACAGGGACTTCATCTCCATCATCTCTAGTGACAAGCCCAGCACCTGCAGCAGTCTGGGCACTCAGTCCAAATGGAAACAAACAGTAACAGCAAACGCTGGAACAGACTTATTGCAGGCTAGTTCCTATTGCAAAGGCTTTGCATGTAGTAACTTATTTAATCCCCATCATAGCCCTTGGAGGTACTTAGTAATATTATCCCCATTTTACAGATGAGCAAACTAAGCAGTCAGAAGTTGGAAGCATGCCTAAGGTAACCCAGTGAGTGGATCATGAATGCTGGCAGGCTAGCTGCAGAGTTCAAATTCAGAGGCATCCACTACCTCAGATAAACAAGTGACTCCACAAGAAGCCTTGGGAATTATGTACATAGAGAACTCTGGGGTCCAGGGGAGGCCATAGGAAGACTGCCACCTTTCCTGGGGGCCTTCCCCTGCTTTTCCTTTATCATTTATTTATTTATTTTTATGTGTATGAGTTTATTTATTTTTATGCCTGCATGTGTGTAAGTGTACCTGTGTTGTGCAGTGACCATGGAGGACAGAAGACGGTGTCAGATCCCCTGGAACTGAAATTATGGATGGTTGTTAGACACCATGTGGGTGTGAAGATTCGAACTCAGGTCTTCTGCAA